TACTACAAATACATAAATTATTTTTTTCAAACTTTTTTAAAACTCGACTAGAAGAAACTCTCGTATGTCTGTACACGTACACGAACTTGTCCGTGTGGATTGCACAATGGACTACCGGGATTAGTCATTCGCAACAAATCTTAAGGGTTGTTCCATTCTAGACGATGTTCGCCGTACTCGATAATAATTTACTAAAAGATAAATTCTTCAATAAGACAATCATAATTGTTTCTTTCTTTCTTTCTTTCTTTTTTGGAAGGGGGGAAGGGTAATGGTTTACTGCAGCAAAAAATTGTAAGCGTTATGATCAATACCGCAAAATCGACAGGCATTCAATAATCGTTCAATCGTGGCATTTTTATATTCGCGTCGTTTCCACTCTATAAGCGCGTTAAAACATTGCCCCCATTCACAAAATTTGTTTTCCTCTTAATGTCTATACATAGCGGCTCTTGATAGACCGAGATTCATCATTAACTTCTCCCAAGGTCGCTCGCACTCTCCATTCTTACCAGAGTAAAAACATTTTTTCACAAGATTTCCAGCTAGTCGGCTTAATTGGCGCTCTGTTGGTGTGGCCTGCATTTTGTTTTTATTATTCACTGTTTGCACACTGCTTTGAATGAATACAAATGATAGTCTTGGTCATTTCAAACGTTTGACATTCATAATCCGGCTCAAGTCTCCCTTTGTCCACTATTCCGGTTCAGGTCTTTCCTCTGTCCGCTATTCCATCTAGCCGGGTGGGCTGCCCCCTTTGTCCAATACATTTTTTAGACCCATCCTTTGTCCGGTAAACCTTACACACGCCCATGCGCTCTTTTATTATGCTAACATCATCCATCCATATGGTAATTAGTTTCATTGATATGCAAATGAGTCCATTGTCTGTTTACCTTATGCATAAAATTCTTTTGTCTTGTCCGCTAAAGACCCTACACACTACTTGCGAAACCATCTGCAAGGCATCCTTGACGCTAATCCCGTCTTGACACTTCAACAAATGAAGGCTAGTTTGAGTGAGCATCTGCCAGAGAAGCCCCAGGTTTCTACTGCCACCATAGCCAGGGCCTTGGATGGGATGATGATTACACTGAAACTAGTGGAGGACGTCCCTGATGCAAGAAATTCCCCTGAAGTTCTTGATCAACGCGTCCAGTATGGTGAGTGGTTCCTGCAGCATGGTGTTCTGGCGCATCTATAGTCTTCATTGACGAGACAGGTTATAACGTCTGGACTCGACGCTCCCAGGGTAGAGCTCCACGAGGGATCGCTGCAAGACGAGTCGTCGACAGACAACGAGGGAGAAATTGCAATGTCACCTTCGCTGTTTCTAGTGAAGTAGGCTTGGTGCACCACCGAATCGCATTCGAAACTGTGACGCGAGAGAGATTCGAGGAGTTTCTTGCGGACACAATTCAAGAGTGTGATGCAGTTTTCCCGGACGACGAACCCATTTACCTCATATACGACAATGCGAGGCCTCACGTGCGAGCCCAACTCCCTGAAGGTACCAACCCAATGATCCAGCTGAAGCGCCTCCCTACCTACTCCCCATTCCTGAACAGCACGGAGATGGCACACTCTGCATTCAAGGCTGCAGTTAAACGCATCCTTGAAGAATGAAGAAGAAAACAAAGAAGAAGAAAAAACCTCATTGGCCCCATGTAAAGTCTACTGGAAGCATAAATAAAGAAAACAAGGTTTGCCTGAATTAAAGTGAAGATACGAAACAGTTGCCTAGTACAGTTTATCTGTTTATTCATATTTCTTTAGTCGTACTTATTTGAATTCTCTTTAAGCGAAATTGATTGCCTCTTTACGAAATTGAAAAAAATTAAATCAGTAAAATCTCCAGTCGAACCAGCTTTGCTAAATTGAATGATGATTGTGTGTCACGAAAAAGAATGACGATATGCTAAATTGAACACAGTGCTAAAGGAATTTGAATGCCTCAAAACGAAATTGAATGGCCGAATTCTGAATTTGAAACGCAGTAACAACTGGAGAGGCAAAATAGCTTCAATTCGAACGCACGAAAATTAAATTGGCTGCTCATTTGCCGAATTTGACCGAGAAAACCTATAATATAATGTTTTACAAATACAGGTGTCAATCATAATTCAAACCATGCTCTCTTTCCACAAAATTAAGGTATCTACCTGTATGAGTCCAAACCCAAAAGGTGATTGATCCTGCATAGGCCTTAAGTCTCTAAACATAACTTTTTTTATATGGAAACTGGGTCAAAAACTGAATGATTTCCACTTTTTTTTAAATTTCTTTTGCTCAAAATTTTGATAGCAAGAAATTAATTAGGTAGAATGATGGCTGATTTCTTTGTGCGTTCATCACAGTTTCTGTGAATTAATTGTTCATTTTGCAAGACGGCACTGCCTACCAAAAAAATAGACATTAAACTAAAATGAAATATGAAATTATGATGCGTGCAAAATTAGATGTAGACGGCAACGTGAGTTACTGTTCAAATTGCATTAACCCTAACCACCTGGGGTGATTTACTATGACCTTGCAAATCCCAACACCATTTGTTAATATATGCACATATACAGTTGGTATTTGAGATACGCCTTATCCAACATAAAGCACAATCAGTTTACAAGTGCAGTACTCATCCTAACAGACTCCAACAAACCCTTATGTTGGAGTTTGGCTGGTTGAGGATCTTAAATCTGCCCCTCAAAATTTCCGCTGTTGTGCCGGTACTCCCTCTAAACATGCAAACGGATACGCATGTGTGCCTTTGTCAAGACTATCAATTAATGTTTTAAACCTAGCGAATGAGTAGCTCCAAGGGAAAACGCTGGCCTCCATTTCCACTGACCCGAGTACAAGTCCTACACTCAACAAAATATTTTTTGTCTTCGTTTTCCAAAAAGTACATGGTTTTGTCCTAAATCCAGTCCTCCAATTAACTACAGAATAGTTCAACTTTCTCTTTTTCATCTCAACAGATTCTGCAATGTGTCTCTCAGTCCAGTTGGCCATGGTTGGCAGTTGGAAGGAGAAAATTATTTATTCCAGTGGATGATCATTGCACGTGGCTCCTCCTAATGTCCTCCAGAATATTCGCTGCAAGTATAAAAAGGGAACTGCACCTCAATCCTGTCTGGCTAGGGAATTGCCTTGCCTTGAACTGATTGCCTGAACAACACTTCTCAGACACTGAATGCCTGTCCAGCGTTTGGTGATGAAAGTGACATTGATCTTTATAGACTCAGTGACTTATGCCCCTCTCTAAAAGCTTGTATCAAAAGTATACATGTACAAGAATTTGTCATGATTGATCAGCCATATTTTTCAATTAGTTGACTCACACCACCTGTAACTATATCATATAACACGTACGATCTTTTTATCAGCATGGTCAAGATGATAGAAATGTGAACTGTAATAATGACTTTCATGAAGGATATTGCTTCGATTTGTATTTGATGGCCAAGTTCCAGTTTTAAAGAGTATATTTCAGGCAAATGGCAATCTAATCATCTTCAAACAGTTTGTCCAGCTCCAAAATTGTAATGTAAGACCAAATAATTATTGATAAAGCATTGCATATCTGTATAATCAATTACCATAATTATGAAAACTTTGGGCTCATTTTGGGTTAACGACATAATTCAGAAATCTGCAATAGTCTTCAACTTCACATTTGTGGAATTGATAGGAGATTCAGTGATGCCTTGAAAAACCAATTTGTCCGCATACATGTATAAACAAGGCATAATATGGCCAAAGCGTTAAGTTTTGCATAATTTGATATTTTAAATACAATGAAACCCTTACAATTTTGAAACTGTGGCATCAAAATACTTCACGTAATAGGTTAAGGACGTAATTCGGTCATCTACAAAGAGCTCTTTGCATTTGCGAATAATAATGCCATGAAAAAAATGTTGTATTATCACATACATTTGTAATTATTTCCCATAATTATACAATATTTGGAATTCAAGTTTTAGACAGTTTGTTTAATTTGGATAAACGACATAATTCAGTAATCTTTCAGCATTACATGGACAATTTCAGTGATATTCTGGAAAATACTTAGCATGCAACACTGAATATGATAAAGCGTTATTTGCTGCATAGTTTCCTACTTAATGAAAAAAAAACCACAATAACAAACTTTAACTATGATTTTTTTGTCATTAAAGACTGTTTAATGACATGTAATTCAGTCATTTACATTTATGAATAATGTCTGTTGTGCCTCATGGATATAAATCAGTTATGCCTAAAAACCAGGTGGTAGACGTAGTAAAACATTGCACATAAGTATACAGTCTAAGCATTGTTTTTGCAGTATGGAATCTCTTTGGCTATGAGCCTACAATCGTTTACAGTTATTTATCATTACTTATTCCAAGTGGGTGACAATCTGCACTGAAATCGGAGGGGCCATTCCTGAGATCCTTAAGGGGATGCATTCGGTTGTCAGAGGCCCCCAAAATGGATGTTTTGGGGTTAACACTTCGGACAAAAATTGTGCTTAAACGTGCCACCTGAGAGCTTGGCAACAGAAAGAATTGAATTCAGCACCCTCGAATTGACATATAACAAGCATTTTTTTTGTTGCCACCAGAAATTTTAAACGGACTTCATTTTCTAGGCGAGATCGGGTTTCTGGCCCACGGTCTGTCGGGAGAGACCGGGACGTCGAGTTTTTACCTCTGGTTCTTTTCAGAACCATTCTCTAAAGCCCGGTTCACGAAAGCGAAAGCGAATGCGAATTTGTGACGTCGTGGCAAGTATTCGCGCTGCGAATTCGTAAAAGTTGAACATATTTTAACTCGGGCGAATTTTACAGCGAATGTTTCATGACGTCAAATTCGCTTCGCATTCGCGTGAAGTATAAACCGGGCTTTAGTTGAGATTTATTCGCGCATGGTGTTTCCGCAAACCTTTCATTATTTAGTATTTCCACCATGCAAAGCCTCAAATCTTACTTGTTTCATTGTTATTCACTTTACACTTACCCGATGACATAATGCAGCCAGCCACACGATAAGCCATAGACTATACACCACTGTCATGTCAAACTTATGTCGACGCATTCTTCCAGTTGTCATAATTACTCCCAATGGTGGAGAGAAAACAAAACTTGTCAATGACTCCAGTGCAGTTGTTTTCGAAACGTAAATCCTTCCAACACAGACACCGTGGAATTTGTGACGAACAGAAACATCTGTCGGTAGGGCCTAATGGTGTTTAGCTGTTATTTGCGGAAAACAAGAATTTTCAACTGAACACTTGTAGGCCTAATACTCTGTACGAAGTTGATGTTATTTTTGTACTTCCTCGACTTTGGATCAAACAGGTCAACGGGCACACCTCGAAAGCTAGGGTAAAAACCCGCTTGTATTTGGGCCCGACAAAAATACAAATGGCTTTGAAGTATTTGAGTAGAAATCACAAAAGGAAATTTGGGTTCATTGAACAAGGTTGGCAACGATAAATGCTTCATAAATACCATTGCTGTATTGATTCTGACATACACCTGTGTTCGCGCACATAGTATGCCTGATTGTGTTTATACAATGGACAGACATTTTCTGTATTGAGATTTACGCCCGTTTTCATGGGCCAGATTTTACGAACCGTTTGCATACGTAGGGAGGGGGCAATCTTTGTGGGGGAAAAATGTCTGGCGAAATAATGTGTTAAGTTGGCTGATTCCTGAGGGGCCAACATGTCTTCTTTGCACGTACCCGACTAACTCATTGACCGACTGTTACTTGCGACTGATCTAGGAGCATCTTTTCGTACAGTGCTGCATCTATATCCTAGCCCTATAGGCTGACGCTTGTTTCATGACTGCAGATCCCCATGCGAACGGCGAAAGCAGATTTTTCGTTTTTGTCACGTTACCACTACATCTTATTCTATTTTTTTCTTTCTGAATCAATTTAATAGAATTTGTGTACTCTGGGACTAGTTCGCCTCTGGCTTTGCTTTAAAAAAAAATGTCTGAACGCCTGCCTCATATATGGCCCAATTTCACTGCGCTGCTAAGCATAAAAATGTGCTTAGCACAAAAAAAGTCTGGCTTATAAAAACAGGTCACCAGCCAAAAATCAACGTGATGTACATTGCTCGTGATTAATATTCAGCTGTTGTTTGCTTAGCATGAAAATCACTTGGAGTTTTGGCTGGTAACCTGCTTTTATAAGCTAGACTTTTTTTGTGCTTAGCAATTTTTTGTGCTTAGCAGCGCCGTGAAATTGGGTTGGATATTCCGCAGCCAGAGTCACAAACATCAGGTTCGTACAAAACTCCGAAGCCGAAGCCGAAGACAGACCGAAGTTTGGAAAATATCCTCAGAGAATTCGCGATGGGTACAAGAACCTTTCTGGGAATCCACTGACCTCAATACTAACTAGCTGCTACACGCTTATTGGCCTATGCCCCTTGAAGCCACTATTCCGCCATCTTGGATCCCCAAAACATCAAAACATGTAGTTGAGGGTTTGTCCCACCACTTGAAACATTCCGCCCAATAATAAGTTATTATTCGGGATGTTTGCAAGTCTCAGTCGGTCATAACTTACATGTTTTGTTTTACCGCCTACAACTCAAAAAAAAAAATTAGAAATAACAAAATAGAAATACGAAATAGAAAAATCCAATACCAACTACCCGTTTAGAAAAACTCGTATTTATCGCTCGTGCGTCATGGGTAACCCAACATGGCAGACGTTTGCTTCATAATTCAGTACACGGGCAGTGTCAGCCAGTCCAGTTGTAGTAGAGGTCGCTGGGAGAAACTAATAATGAGAACCAACCACTCAATCAGCTTGTTACAGTGTTGCGCACCTTTTCTAAATTCCATTGGTCCAATAATCAAAAAAGTGGCTCATGGATATGCGTTTGTTCAACTCCTCTGATTTTATATAGGACTATCAATGTTGAAAAATGACAAAGGAACATGTTTGAACAACTGGCAAAATTTAAAAAAGAAGACTTACTTCGTCACACATCTTCTCGTCAGTTAAGGAGAATTCGAATATATTTGTGTCCCCAGGTTTTTAACCTTGAAGACTTGCTTTGCAAGAGACCCACCCAAGAAAAAGGGAACAACATCATTAAACATTATTTGGGGAAAAAATGAAACACAAAAGTAACAATTTACATGCTAAAACAAATATCTCACCTTCGATCATCATTGAAGAATGCATGTATTTAAATAAGGATAGATAGATTTAAACATTTACTTTCCCTTCCGAGGGGTGAATCAAAAGTGATTTCTAAAGTGTGAAATTTTTCAATAAATGTATTGAATGTTTATCTATTGACTATAAGTGTATAATGTTTCGTATTGATAAAATTAAATATAATCAACTTAACTTTTCAAACAACTCGTTTTATAAAAATATAAAACAAAGTTCGTTCAATGTGCCTATACACCTGTATATATGTTGCTATCAATATTTACAGTAAATTAAACCTAATTGCATCTTCTCAACGAAATGAAATATTCCGTATAATAATAACCATTACCAGTAGTATTCAATGCACTATATAGATATTGTTATTCAATATACAGAATTCTTGCGTTCGTTAAAGTTGCGCTCCTCGTGCTGTACAGCAAATTTAATTTTATTTTATTAATACATTTTACAACTCTAACATGTATATTTTATTTTAATCTAATAATAATAGCCAATAATTCGAAATTGTAAAGAAATTTTTCAATAACTAAACTTGGGCCGAATTTCCAGTCGATGTCTCATTGAGAAGTGAATAACTTTTGTATTGCCGGAAAAAAAAATTGCAAATTTGGAAAAGGGAATATATTTTTCGGGATGAAGCTCGAAAATAGCACGGGGAATGCATCTTTAACACAATTCACGTTTACGTGATCACGGCCATATTGGAATACGTCACGTGACTGCATGACATTCAATAAAATGGTTTTAAGGTGTTTATAAATTAGAACCATACCTTTGAGTGAAGTGCAAGCTTAAAACAGCAACCACTTTGTTAAAGTCATATAGGCCTATTGTTTCAATTAAATGTGACTTCGCCTTATCACGACGTGACAGGCCTATACAATTCGGAAATGGCGGTCCGTGTTGATATTTTCATTATTGCATTTTTTTGTAATCCATATTTCAATTTTGATATAAAATGTTCACACTGTTGTTTATTTGATAGAAACAAGAATATACTAGTTTTTAGAAGCCGAAACCCCCTATAGCTATGTAGCCAGGGATCAAGCCCAAAGTCACGATGCTAGAAAAACTAGGCCCATCCATGCTGCAAACCTGAGAAATAGACCATTATCATGTTGCGGCCATCTTGATTTTTGTTCCCATTCAAATCAACGTAACCAAAGCGAGGCTGGAAGGAAAAATAGTCTGGTTCCCTTTTGCACAATACAATATCATTCAATACTGTTATTGGATACAGGGAACATGACTGAAATGGTGGCAGCATGATAAAGGTCTTTAGCAAGGTTTGCAGCATTGCTAATGTTGCTACATAGCATATAAATGAAATAACAGTAATGATATACATGAACCTACAAGAAATCTCCTTAATCACGATATCTAGGCTGACTCTCTGGTCTAAGAGAGTCAGCCTATAGTGTCCTCTTCGTGCCCGACTGCCTGACTCACTTACTGACTGTCACTTGTGAACCGGGCAGTGCTATCGCATAAGATTACCTCCTACATATAAATCGGCTAAGCTCGACCAACTGTGAAGACGTATACATGAAAAGACTGAATCAGTTGCATTGTTTTGATTCCTAAGTGTAGGCCTACACTGTAAAAAGAGTTTAAAAACATATTTCTAAACACTTTTTGGTACCTATTTTCTCAACATTTAAATCCACGACATGTTTTATGGACGTCTTTGACATGTTAAGGCACGTACGAAAGCCCAGTAGTACCATCGAGTATACGTTATAAAAATAAAAATGACTTATCGGGTTGAAGTCAAATGAGAGGCTCAATGCACACTTTTATCACACTTTTTGCATCATCTGTCAACGAAAAACGAACATTAAAATATATATTTGACTTTATTAATGAGTTATTATTAATGGCACTATCAGGCTTTCATACTGTGCAAAATCATAAACATGTCTCAGACTAAATGTGAAAAAAGGAGGGTCCTAACATAAGTGTTTATAAGCTAAGCACCATTTTTACAGTGTACGCCTCCCCCCCCCCCCCATAAAAAGAAATATTAACGCATTTCAAAAACTTAAGTAAGCCTACATGTTCAAATGTTCTAAGGGATAAAGTCACCGAAGGGAGTATTTGGGCTGGCCGACGGGGACAAGTTGGTCCTCCACAACATATTCTGTCCATCCCCGTGTCCACGCATGAAATTCACATCAGGCAGTCTTGCAGCGGGCTGCATATATTAGGCCAGAGGAAAACAGAAATGTGAATAGTGTCAGTGTGACAATTCATTAGATTTGGCTTAAAGGGAAGATGCAACAATTTGCAAACATCACAAAAAAAAATAATCACATTTTCACAAAATACCTTACTGGATTGTTAGGGAATGACAGTTTAAAGCATCCTGTAAAATCGTGGCTCCAGGTGGGCTAACATTTTCAAGAAAACTTGTATTTTTCCAACGCTGGTCAGCCGATCAGCGTTTAGCCGACCATTGTTGGAAAAAACTGTGGTTTTTTTTTCAGAAACTGCTTGTAATTTTTCATTATTAGTTATTCCGTATTTTCTTTGCAATTGATTCCAAACCTGTGAAGGGGAACAAGCCTGCTAGACTGATTCTCTGACCTTACAATTCCCCCAAAGTCTATAAATTGCTTCGTTTAATCTTAAGTGGGGCCAGGGAACCAGACTACAAGAACATGAATGGTTTTCTTGGTTTTTCCAGCATCTACAAGCCCAAAACGTGAAACAAGTCAGTGTAACAACATCTGCTATAACATACTAATCCTCCAAACTCATTTATTTCGGAAAATTGCAGCAAAAGCAAATGTTGTACGTTCCCTTTAAATGGATACATTTAAGTTAAAGCTCAACTGCAAATCCATTTAATGGATTTCTTTTTTTTTTTCTAAGGAGGGAAAAGAAATGTCTGACACTTTACACTCCTACCAAGTCGTCTTTTTATCTAATGATTTCATCGCAGACAAAATACGGTATGAAGTAGGCCTGCTATGATAAAATGTGGTTGCGATTTTAAAAATATATATATTCAATTCCTATCAGATGTATGAAACTATGAGACATTCCTTCCTAAAATTTTTGTAATGCACATTTTTTTATATGCATTTCAAATCTTCAATTCTTTTCCTGAAAACTGAGGGCGCTCTTGCTGTGATGTCATTTAAGAAACACACTCTTTAGTTCGTGCAGTTTGTGTTCAAACTGTGTACCAAAAAAATGCCTTATTCAAAAATCTTTACATTTTTGCTCTAAAAAAAATAAATAAAAGACCATGCAGAAATTTACCACGGCAAAATAAGCAGATGTGACACTAATGTGTTAATGCAAGTAAAAAAAATACACCGAAAAAACTTGGAAATTGGTAATATAAAGATTGGAAATAAAGTAAAATGACAAAAACAAAGGTGTATTTTCAGGGAATCCATGAAAATAAAGGATTTTTCATGAGCCCTATAAATTTGTTTTAAATATTTAATTTTATAAAAAAAATTCAATTACCTGTGTATTTGCATTGGCGACTTGTGGCGGTGGTCCGCTGTGTGGAAATGTAGTGAAGAATTTTTTTTAATCTGATTAGCAAGTCGGTAAAAAGCGTTCTTTCTGGTTTTCGAACCCCAACCATAAACCTCGCCAAATTTTGAAAATCTTCAGTGTCGGGATAAGACCGGATATTGAGTTGGGGGGGGGGGGGGGGGAAGGGCAAGCGGTTGAGAATTCAAACCACCCATGACGAGATGAGTAACAAATTACATATTATAATTCTTGGGTTTCAGAAAATAATGAGTTGAACATAGATGAACGAACTGTTTTCCCGGCAGCATTTCCTGGTTGTTATAATTCGTCGCAGACTAGATGCATTACGGAGATCCAAAGGTGCCATCTGGGGGTCCGCTCATAAGTCCGACGCCTCATGGCGTCGGACTTATGAGGCGTAGGACTTATCATGAGGCGTTGGACTTATGAGGCATAAAGTGTATTTATTCCGCCTCATAGCTCCGACGCCTCTTAAGTCCGAAACAGCGTTTGTCCATTGTCGGACTTATGAGGCGTCGGACTAATGAGGCGTCGGACCTATGAGGCGGAATTTATGCCTCATAAGTCCGACGCCTCATAAGTCCGAAATTTCGGACTTATGAGACGTCGGACCTATGAGGCGTCAGACTTATGATACGGCCCCGCCATCTGCCTCTTCGTCACTATTACTTTTTTTTCTATGGTGTCATTTTCGTTGGGGAGATGTTGATTCATTTTTGGGTCCCATTCTATAGGTTACTATTTTTTTCCCTCGCAAGTCATCGTACAGTACTGGGTCTAATAAACACCGTTTATGAATGACGAAAGGGTAAAACCTTAACTTGAACCTAAACTCAAGATGCTTACATCCTAAAAGACGACAATACTCCTGAAGGAAGAATTTCGTTTTCCCTCGTCGATTTATGTCGTCATAAGTGTTATTTAACCTGATTAGACTTCGACCTCTGAAGCCGTCGGGATTTTTTTTGGGTGTTTTTTGCCACCCGATGCAACTTTGATGATATTACCACGATCGGCATCAGTCGGCTCTCAAAATCAAAAATCGACAGTCGGAAAAGAAGACATATGTAAACTTGTGCGCTGCGACGGCGCGCCGCTTGTTCATGTTCGACGATAATCACACGATTTCTCAGTTTTGTGAACTGAGCATGACTTTTGTGCTTGATGCTGTCAGTTCTGTAGTCTGAGTATCATCCGTTGTTCAACGGATATTGTGAACAATGCATATTCCGTATATTGTGAGCAATGCAAATTTTATGTGACCCCAAGCGCCGGCCAATCGGATTCGTCTTTAGAAATGTGGACTAAGCTGTTGATTGGACAATTCGGTTGCATGCTTTTGTAATACAACAACGAGTTATCGAAGACCCGATAGAAGGTGCCCGCTGAATGGTCAGAATCTGGAGATCAGGACGCGGCGTTGTTTAGAACAAGTAATCGCCGAATTTTCCCGAATATCATACAGGGTGAGTCAGAATGATCTGGACCCAAATTACAGAAAATAAAAAAACTATGTTACAGGCTGGTATCTTCAGTTGGACATATTTGGTAAAAATTCCATGTATAGCCATCGTACCATTGTTTGAAATGCAGTCACATTAGTGCGCGATTTCGAAAATTTTTTTGAACCATGCAGTGGAACCGTGGTCAGAGTGTTTTTTAGCGTGTGTTCTTTGCTATAGCGCTTTTCTTCAAAATGGTCCAATGGATATAGCCTACATGAAACTTTCACCAAATATGTCCAAAATAGCACCCTATAACATAGCTCATTTGCACACTTGTTTTGATAATTGCTACATTTTCCCCCTTTAATTTGCGTCCAGATCATTCTGACTCGGCGGCCTGAAGACGCTTGTGCGCAAGCGGCTTTTCCATAAATTAACGGTTCCGTGGCGGCACAAACGAATCGCAGTTCGACCTGAGGGCAGCTATTAAATGACACACTGAATGGTACGTGGGATCGTTTACCTACATCATGTACTGTGCCTTCATCTCAACAACTGAGGTAGCACCTCCATAGCTTTGTACTTCCTGCACTCAACAGCGTTTGCCCTATTTGCTTTATGTGCGTTTTGCTTGTTTGAAGCAACAAAAAGTATGGTGCATACCAACTAATCAATGGACAGTATATATTTTGTGAAAAACAGTGAAAATATATGCACATTTTTGGGAGATCTCGTAACTGGATTCCGTTGCTAACGCACGTTAAAATAAAAGTGTGCCCGCACGTACACACATACTAACAATTGCAGCATTTAAGGTGTTTACAGGCGGTTTACCTTAACAGGCTGAATAATTTCACAGGGTATTTGCTACCAGTCCTTTGTTCGCTTTGAGCAAGGTTTTTCTCATGAAATCGGTACCGAAGATAGTTACCAATGTTCGTACGTGCCTTTAATGGGAAAGCTTCCAGCCCGGAAGAAGTTTCGTTTCGTAAGGCACATACAAATTACACAAATCAGCCATAGCTGAACGTCCATCTATCTTTCAAAATATGTTCTCCTGGAGGAACATGAATTGGTGATTTTACAAAATAGGTCCTTTCCAACACACGACAAAATGGGTTATTGGGCACTGTTTCATCAATAAATTAGTTGTCTTCAACCTTTTCCTGTCTTTGAACCAACATTTGATTAATTTTAAACAAAAACGACACATTGCTTGACTGAAGAGCAAAATACTTACGATTTAGACATCATCATCATCATAGCAAGACCTGCGTAAACCACCACGCATGCGAAAACGGCGACAGCGGCAAAACTGATTGATCCTATCTCAGCATCTGAAAAGAGAACAGAGGAGGCCAGGGTAAGACAGTTCCTTTTTTTGTGCTTCTGTGAAACATTGTTGAAACGCAAGGAATTAACTGTAAGACTTGTAAGGGACTCGGAGAGCCACAGACCTGAAAAGGGAATTCAATGAAGCAACAGACTGCAATGTTGATATGTATCGTTTGGAAATGCAACGAGGATGTTGTTGAAGTAATGGAATTGACTTGCATTTCGAATCAAGAAAAAGATCTGTATTTTCGAAAAGACTGGGCTGGTCTCGTCGAAATGGACCCAAAAAATCTCAATTTCGGATATCATTTATAATTGGTGACTCGGACGATCAGTCGGTCGGTCGGCGAGTCGGTCAGTCAGAGGGCAGCATGCTGGCACTTTGGATACAGCCAAAAAAAGCAACAACCCACCAGACAAACAATAACATGTGTCACTGGCGGCACTAAAAAACCAAAAAACAAACAAACAAACAAACACCCCAACACCCCAACAAACGGAATGGAACTCACCAGTTAGAGGCATAATTGGTGAATCCGTTGTTACAGGGTTTGCCGTTGTCGCAGGATTTTGAGTGGTTGTAGGGTCTTTTGTTGTGGGCATCTGCGTCGTAGTAGCCGGTGATGTAGGTTTCAATGTTGTCGGGCCAACTGGTGTTGTAGGATCCCATGTTGTTGGTTTATATGTGGTTGGATTGCGAGTGGTGGGTTTAACAGTCGTTGGATCCAGTGTTGTGGGTTCAAGTGTTGTGGGATCTGCTGTTGTAGGTTTAAGTGTTGTTGGTTGCTGTGTTGTAGATTTTAATGTTGTTTGTTGTAGTGTTGTTGTTGTTGGATCTAATGTTGTTGTGGGATCTTGTGTCGTGGGAATTTGTGTCGTTGTGGCTTCCTGCGTTGTGGATTTTAATGTGGTAGGGGTCAATGTTGTAGGATATGGTGTTGTAGCCTGGATGGTAGTTGTAGGATCAAGTGTTTTAAGCTCAGTTACTGTATTGGTTGGCTCCAGTGTTGTGTGCATTCGTGTTGTTGTGGGATCATCTGTCGTGGTTGGTTCGATTGTTGTTGTCGGATTTTGTGTTGTTGTGGGCTCTCGGGTGGTTGTTGGATCATTAGTTGTTGTAAGATCTATCGTTGTTGTTGCATGTAAAGTTGTCAGTTCTAGTGTTGTAGTTAAATGTGTTGTTGGATTGGATGTAGTTGTGGGTTCCATTGTTGTTGTGAGTTCCATCGTTGTAGTGGGTTCCAAAGTTGTTGAGGGTTCCATCGTTGTTGTGGGTTCTAATGTCGTTGTGGGTTCCATCGTTGTAGTGGGTTCTAAAGTTGTTGTGGGTTCTAATGTTGTTGTGGGTTCCATCGTTGTAGTGGGTTCTAAAGTTGTTGTGGGTTCTAATGTTGTTGTGAGTTCCATTGTGGTTGTGGGTTCTAATGTTGTTGTGGGTTCTAATGTTGTTGTGAGTTCCATTGTGGTTGTGGGTTCTAATGTTGTTGTGGGTTCCATCGTTGTTGTGGGTTCTAATGTCGTTGTAGGTTCCATCGTTGTAGTGGGTTCTAAAGTTGTTGTGGGTTCCATCGTTGTTGTTGGGTCTATCGTTGTTGTAGGTTCCATCGTTGTCGTGGGTTCCATCGTTGTTGTGGGGTCTATCGTTGTTGTAGGTTCCATCGTTGTCGTGGGTTCCATCGTTGTTGTGGGGTCAAATGTTGTTGTAGGTTCCATCGTTGTAGTGGGTTCCATCGTTGTTGTGGGTTCCATCGTTGTTGTAGGTTCCATCGTTGTCGTGGGTTCCATCGTCGTTGTGGGGTCTAATGTTGTTGTGGGTTCTATCGTTGTTGTAGGTTCCATCGTTGTCGTGGGTTCTAAACTTGTTGGCTCCATTGTTGTTATCGTGTCTTCACATTTAGTAAACAGAGAATTAGGTAAAATAACATCAGTGAAATTAGGTACAGATGCATTTTGGGAGCAGCTACTGCCATACTCAGTTCCGTTGCAATATATCGTTCCACAAACCATGTCGCCCATGTCATATCCGAACAGAAATACATCGTCCGCTGTAATGCTTGCAATCTGCAAATGGAAAATGCAAAAGGAGAATACATGTATAAAGGTTCAATATCTTTAATTTTCAATGAACTTTAGGCCTAACAGATCGTATTATACAATTTTTACAATTTGGTGCTTTTTCATGTTTTATGCCGTCACTTTGATAGCCATAAAACATAATGCGGAAATATTTGAAAACAATGACGTCACACAGTTATCAACTTGATTTACTGTTCACCACTTGTTTCCTATGTGGGAAAAGGAGGTGAACATGTGCACTGTCAAATTTGGTTGGCTATAAAATCCTTCATTTGTCGAATTGAGCATGTCTCAACATTCATGGGTATGGTACGTCCGGGGCACAGTCTGTTATGGTTTAAGAGACCAGATTTCACAGTTTTCATTTGAGTTGCTATGGGAAGTCTAAGTTTTGAGACCGTAATTCACCAACTTTGACCTCTTTCGAAAGGCCTACTCAATCAAAATGACTGTTCAAGTTACACTCCCGGCCGGCGGCGCTTGATTTGAATTTTATCCCGAAAAATAGATTTTTGTTTTTCCAAAATGCTATTTTTTTTTAATGCAGAGTTAGTACATGTAACTTTTGAATGAGACCTCGACCAAAAGAAAATCGGCCTTTGTATATTTTAATGAATGTTTTAGAATTTTGAATTACATGCACTCTAAAAACAACTTAGTCAAAATATTGACTGGTTTTCCTAGTTATTGAAAATTGACTAGGAATTTAGTTAAACATGCAAAGTTTCATACTGTGACTAGAAAAAGTAGTTGGGTTCGACTCGAAATTCAGTTATTGGCATAACTATTTTTCCCAAGTCAATAATACTGACTGGAAAAATCTAGTCAGATTGACTGATTTTCAGTTGCACCCAGCTGACCCTGAATGGCTAGTCAAATTTGACTGGTTTCTAGTCATATCTGACTAATGCTTTTTTAGAGTGTGTAGGCCTATCGGCTGCCAAACAATTAAGCCGTTCTCGCGTAGTAGGCTTGTTCCCGTCCGTCACAATCATGTATCGATAACCTTAACCGCACTGAATCCTTCAAAATCCTCTTTGCCAAAGTGGAGGAATTTGGAGGATCATGAGGTCACATGGCAAAAGTGCGTTACTGATTTCGTAGGATGCACTTTGTCAAGGTCATGGGCCGGCTCTTGTGTTGTTTTTGCTCAGCCATGACTCCGCAGGATCTTGCAGGATCAGGCAGTCACGGTGGTCACATAATGGAGGAATTTGCAGGATTGAGGGTATATACTATTTTTCCAATGAGGCCAATTACAGGATTTTGCAGGATTGAGGCTACATCTTAGCAAAAAGGCATATAGGGAGTTAGGGTTATAATAATATACGAACCGGGAACCAGTCTGCTCGCAAAGCCGATCAGTTTGTGCCCCAAACACTTTCCTTCTGGCTAGAGGGTGTATGCGTCTCAAAATAGGGGAGGGGGTTAGGGCCTACACTAATAACAGTCGGAATAAAGCAAGCACGTGGAACGTAACTTCAAGAAAGAGATAAAATAATGAGTTTGTCCTAAAATCATTTACAAATCATTGTTTCGTATACCATCACAAATCTAAGCTTTGTCTATAAAAAGCAAAAGCTACGGAAAACGGTTCATAACAATGAACTCACCCACGAAGTTGCAAGAAGAGTGCAAAGCAACACTGTAGCGCACGGCGCGTAGGTCCATGGGCTTGTGCAGGCGGGCGCCATGTCTGCCAGTGTGCACCGGTGATCACCAAAGCTCCAAAGTAATAACTGGGCGTTGAATCTATCGTTAAAATCCACAAACTGTATATTGGTATTCTGAACTGCTGACTCGATTGGTAATCCGATAATTTGTTGTTAATAATCCAACGATGGTAGTGCCTCTATGATTATTCCGATCCGTTCGAAATCAGAGGGGACTGCTACACATATTTTGTAGTGTCATTATAGCCCTTTGGGCATACCTTTGGGAAAACGCACTGGCTTATTCATTTCACTGCAGCTTCGTTTCTTTGAACCCGAGTCATTCGACCATGGCAATGACAATTCTGTTTTGACATAGCTTTAATGCGGGACAAATTCGAGTCTATACACCTCGTGTAGTCACGTGACTGTCAATTGGTTTTGATAGTGACCTTCACTATAACAATTTCTTGACACGGATTGGGCCTAAGGCTGCAGGGAACGATTAACATTCAAAAAAATGAGGAAATGAGTCTTGGACTATGATGCTTGATCCTGTTCTATGTAAATTAGATACGAGGCCTAGGCCTACATGGATGCCTAAAATAGAAAAATTGCGGGTAACACCATGTGAAAAGAAATTTCTTCTTGGAAGAAGTGTGGTTTCCGATTGAACTGGTTGGTTCACTGTTGAGTGTAGAACTCGACGTTTCGGACAGTGTGCTCTGTCCATCCTCACCCTCCCGAGGACGGACAGAGCACACTGTGGAGTTCTACACTCAACCAACCGGTTCTTTTCAGAACCACACTTCTTCAAAGAAGAGATTTCTTTCCCCATGGTGATACCTGCAATGTTTCCATTTGATCTCATCCGCGGCATGCAAAGCTTCAAGTCAGTATTATAGCCTAACTAAACTGGGGAAATCTTGGGGTACCTCATTTTTAATCAAGGGGGCACCGAAGGCAAATGATACATATATATATATTTTTCCATTCAAGATATTAAACGGGGTGGGGTGAGGGTTGGGGAGGGGGAGGCACCCGGGGGACATTCGCTTGGGGGGGGGGCAGTTACGCCTCTATAGCTGTGTACAAATTGACAAACGTGCCACTACACCTTCCTCATTTAACACATAATATCACGATTTTTCTTTTTCTTTTCAGAGATAAAAACTGCTGGGGCATTAGGCTAGGGTGTGAAGCAACAGAAGAAGAAAGGACAGCAGTATTACCCTTTTTTGTTATTAACCCACCGGAAAATCAGCGACGAATTTCTCTGGGTGTGTCATAATATAAACAGTTTTCCGCGTGGGCCATGAATGAACAATGACGCATCGAAAATGTTTTAAAGCAGCCGGTGTCCAAAGGTTAAAATCGTGCTCACCGTTTTATGAGACAGATTCGCGTTGGCATTAATCATAACACGTTCCATGTTTCATTTGTCTTCAAAGTAAGCTAATTAAGCTATCATTTACTTTCATCGTATCGACTCACCGAGATGGGTGCGTATGGCAGGCCCTGACGTTTCTCCCAAGGAAAAAGACAGAGTAGCAGTTCCTTCCAAATAAATTCCTCGTTTTTAGCGACACCACTGGTCTTACTTGAAACAGCCTTGTTTGACATCAAACGCTGATAATTTTAGCCATGTCAGCCCAATACACGCTGATACACAATGCCTTTAATTTACTCTCTCTCTCTCTCTTCGCAATTCGGCGATGTGAAAGGTGAAAAAAGGATAATAACTGTCGTTGTTCAGTTGTCACGGTTGAACGAGTTCTATTTTGCCGGGACAGAAAAGGGGGATTTCCCTATGAATGACCTCGCGTTTCGTACACGCGTAGGATGACTATGCTAACAGGCCCGGCATTTCAATGAATGAAAGTGTTGAAAGGGGGAAAGGCAATTGGAAGGGGAAATTTCAAGCTTGCACACTGTGGTCAAGGACACTTTTGTTTGTAATTGATCGGGGAGCAATGATTTGTGTGAATAATTGATCAGTGCTTGGCGCGGCCAGGTATACAGGGCGAGTCAAAAAGAAAGTGACCGAATTTGAAACATATTTCAAAAATATTTGGCTTGCTCCATTTCATTAAAAATAGTATGTGTAAATAAAGTACGTCTTATTGCCTTGTCACTGTGACATTTCACACAATTTGCATACTCATGCCTTCTTCAATAAAAAGATCACAAAACTTGGCTGTCCAGTCCACCACTGATCATTTACCGTTCTACGAGCTGATGACTACCCATTAAATACAATGAAACATGGACGTTTTCCCACGTCAATTAATGAACGAGAACTTGCAAAGGAAAGCATGCAAAAAATCGCCATCAATATTTTAGAAACAGATGACTTGTTCCCCATATTCAAACCACAAAATCTGACAGTAAAATTAATGTTTCAGTCTTGATTTCAATTATTAAAATCTCATATTTATTTGAATGCTTGTGTGTAATCTGTCATTCTCATTGAGCTCAGTAGGTTCCAATGACACCCATTAGCAGCTTTGGGTTCTTTTCGTAAAGCAAAAGTGCATAACTTCTGATGGCATGGATCAATTCCATTCTTCTTTTTTTTCAGACGGGTGGACGAAGATGCTCTTTTATGCTTCATTGGTGTATCAAATTTGATTGCTTTTTAAGAAAAAAATCTTTATTCCGGGTCACTTTCTTTTTGACTCCCCCCTGTATTATGGACAATTTCAAAAAAAGTAAAATTGTAAGGAAAAATACAATATGTAAGCCAGCTACAGCTGCATTAAAAAAAACCCACTTGTTGACCCATTGATCGTCAATCATTAACATAGCCCTAAATATGTGAGAGAAAACGATTTATGCGAGTAGGCCCTCGGTGGTTCACTTTCAGTGCTTATCCCGGCCAGTCTTTGTAGAAATGTATCGAGCTGATGCCATGCGGACATAATGATTAACATATCAAAAGAAAATACAATTAAAAAAAACACCACCAATTGGGCGAAAAATAAGCCTTCACATGTAGTTAAAGAGGAAGTTCCGTCGAGAAATATCAGAAAACGGCACAATATTCCGAATACATGTACTTCAATTGCAGTTTTGTGTGGTGAAACAAAATTGAAAGCGACAATTTCAGAGTTCAGATAACATCACAGTTATTTTGGGGCTAACAAAAGTTTTCGTCCTTGGTACCTGGCTGTCCGTTCGTGGCACTTCCGCATGCAAATCATTCAGGTGCGACGTTAAACAGGGACGAACGAACAAAAACTGGCCAAAAAGGGCAGAAAATGAACAGTGCGGAAAATTGGGGAATTCCCCACAGCAACCCCAAAAGCGGAAATATAAACCGGATGGGGGGGGGGGGGGGGGGTAGGTACACACACTTTCCGTACAGCAAAGGGGGCTGACACGAGCCGTGAAAGCGATCTCATTGTACGATTTCCAGTTCTCATGATTTCTCGTTTCTCTGCAAACCACATGAATCACGGTAGCATAAAATGGCACGACAGTAGAGCGCGTGATGAATATGCATGACTATGACGTCACTAGAAGCTCATGAGTAATATATCACGCACGGTACTGATAGATATACATGTAGATGCACACTGTATGTGCTGCATCCCACCGATGATATCACATTTAACAAGTCCTCTTTCTACTGTCGCGCCGCCACCCTCTAGTGTCGTCCCACTTACCAATGATATCACATTTAACAAGTCCTCTTTCTACTGTCGCGCCGCCACCTTCTAGTGTCGTCCCACTTACCGATGATATCCACAAGTGGTCCACTCACATTGATCAGATCATCTCTAAAGCCAATCGTATGCTCGGGCTACTCAAGAGAAACATCCACCACTGCAACAGTAATACCAAGTCCATTGCGTATCAGACACTAGTCAGACCAAGGCTAGAATATTGTTCCGCCATTTGGGATCCTCATCATGCGTCGGATAAAAAGAAATTAGAAAGCATTCAACACAGAGCAGCTAGATTTGTTATGCAAGACTACAGCAGGGAGTCAAGCATCTCAGCAATGATGAATAAACTCAAATGGGACACTCTTCAAGATCGAAGGACCAAAGTTCGATTAGTCACACTTATCTTCGCTCTACGGGGAGCTGGTAACCAACCAGGTTAGGTTGTATGAACGGACGTCAATTCGGCGTTCTAAACTCATCAACAACTTAACCTTCCTCAAGCGATGCCGCGACTCTAAGATAACTCCTGCCGGTCTGCGTATCCGCGATCCCATACGCAATCACCGATCGGATGACATCCTCCGGAGAGCCAGCTCCGCACTCATCCGAGAACGCATCTCCTTCACCAGACTACAACTCGCCATCCTCGACCAGCAGATCACCGACACGGAAGAGGATCTCCGCTCCACCTTGGAACCAGTCCACTTTGACAGGATTTGTTCTCTCACCACTTCTTCCAGCCAGTTTGTGTACTCCACCACTCGTCGGAAACAACTTAGGAAATTCTACCGCCTGGAACGCAAGGAACGGAGTACTCCGACTCCTTTCCACCGGAACCGTAGCCCGCCAACTGGATCTCCTATATCCTGGCGTCATCCATCTCGCCTACATAGCCCGCCAACTGGATCTCCTATATCCTGGCGTCAGTCTTCTCGCCCGCGTAACCTGCCATCTGGATCTCCTATATCCTGGCGCCATCCACCTCATCTCCGTAGTCAAGACACCTTCACCAAGCATACGGTAGTCAACCTCAGCAGCCGACAGCTGAACAGTACTGAAACGAAAGTTCTGTCCCTTGGCATGAACTTTGCTGTTCCTCCAAAGTCCGTACCCATCGAGAGCATCATCCAGTCGACGGAGCCAGCCCTCAGACACCTCACCAAGACAGCAGCCAACGACGTCCGCATCAAGATGAATGAAGTCCTCCGCAAGGCTCGCCCAGCTAAACCTAATCTGACCAAAACAGAGCGGTTCGCTGTCAGTGACCTTCGCCGAGACAACTCCATCCACATCCTCACAGCGGACAAGGGCAACGCCACCGTCGTCATGGACAGGGAGGACTACAGCAACAAGGTAAAAGACATACTTTCTTCTGGTTCATACCGCCCACTCCCCAAGAACCCCATCCCCGCCATCGAGAAGCGAGTTGCCAGCCAACTTCTCCTCTTGCATCGAGCAGATGCATTATCCACCCCCCTCTACAGACGACTCAGACCCTCCAGTTCGATCTGTCCCAGGTTCTTTGGTCAACCAAAGATTCACAAACCTGAGATCCCTCTGCGCCCCATAGTTGCCTCTCGAGGTTCCCCCACTTACCACACAGCCCAACACTTAGCCAAAATCCTCAGACCCTTGGTGGGTCAGACACCACACCATGTGTCCAACTCTCCCCAGTTTGTCAGCATCACCAGAAACCTCACGGTCCAACCCACTGACTTGCTTGTCAGTTTTGACGTCGTCTCACTCTTCACCAATGTTCCCACAGGCGAGGCCTGCAAACTAGCTAAGGAAAGACTTGAACATGATACCACTCTCGCTGAACGCACAGACCTGTCCCCCGACCAAATTCATGATCTGTTACTAACATGTATTTCTTCCAGTTGTTTTCAGTGGCAAGGCAAGTTCTACGAGCAAACGGCTGGGACCTCCATGGGATCTCCTTTATCCCCGGTCCTAGCCGACATCTTCATGGAGGAGTTCGAGTCTTCCTCCCTACTCACAGCGGATCTTCGGCCGAGCCTGTGGCTACGCTACGTTGATGACACCTTCGTAGTGTGGCCCCATGGCCCGGACACACTCCAAGACTTCCTCCAGTACCTCAACAAGCAACACACCAGCATCAGCTTCACCATGGAACAAGAACAGCACGGCACCATTCCTTTCCTGGACGTCAAGATCTCCAGGAATCCGGATGGCACCCTGGGACACAGCGTCTACAGGAAACCCACCCACACCGACCGCTATCTCCACCAGCGGTCGTTCCATCACCCCAGCATCAAGTCATCGGTCAACCGCACCCTAGTACAGAGAGCCTTCGAGGTCTGCGACCAAGACAACCTCAAGCGTGAACTCAAGCACATCCAGACGTCACTACAACGGAACGGCTACAAACCCCACCGCATCAAGATCAGCAAACCTGACCAACGGGTCCCCTATACCCAAGGTCCTCCCACTGTATCTCCCTCAGTCACTCTTCCTTACATAGGTCCAGCTTCTCATCATCTGCAACGCATCCTCCGACAAGCCGGCGTCAAGGTGTACCACTCATCTGGCAACAAGCTCCAAGGCAGCCTCCATACGCACAAGGACAAGCAGGACTCCTCATCCAAGCCGGGAGTCTACCGCATTCCATGCGAATGCGGCAAAGTCTACATCGGCGAAACTGGTCGGAACCTTCCCACTAGGCTCAAGGAACACAGAGCACATGGACGGCGAGGGGATTTTGACAAATCGGCCATTGTCAAACATTCCCACATCAACGACCACAAAGTTGATTGGGATGCGGCCGAACTCATCGCACCGATCCAGTTCTGGCATCCAAGACGCATACGGGAAGCCATCGAGATCCGCAAGCACAACACAGTTCCGCAAGACATCGGGTTTCACCTCAACGACATCTGGCTCCCACTTCTCCAGACTGATGGGTCTCCTATACCCTAGGTCCTCAGCTACCACCTTAGACTGATGGGTCTCCTATACCCTAGGTCCTCCCTCCACTGACACTGCAACCCTACTGTTCCACTTCAGTGGGCACTAAGCTTGCTCAGGGATCCTGTCTACTTGGCATCCTCACAGGATGCAACTTCACAGGATGCTACTTGCACAGGATGCAACTTCACACTCCATTAATTCCCCTTTTGCCACTTAAGTATTCACTTTCTTAGAGTTTAGGCACTCTCCTGAAGACGGTCAGAGCATACTGACCGGAACGTCGAGTTTATACCTCTGGTTCTTTTCAGAACCATTCTCTTAGTTGAGAAATTATTCGCACATGGTGTTTCCGCAAACCTTTCATTATTTAGTATCTCCACCATGCAAAGCCTCAAATCTTACTTAGTCACACTCTACAAAGAAACCCATGGGCTTACACCGAGTAATATGGAAGATTATCTGAACATCGTCAACTCATCAAGGGGGGTTTCTACTAGACAGACCGGACCTTTCTCATATAGAGTCATCACCACAAATAAGGACTGCTTTCGTTACTCAATGTACCCAAAGACCATCCTAGAATGGAATCAACTTCACCCTAACATCCGCTCTTCACCTGACATTAAGACTTTCAAACTGGCACTGGACAACATCAACATTCAAGACCTGGCTTCCAAAACCCAATCAAGAATTTAGTTGCTGCACACCTGACCCTGACCAACGTACGTCGACAACCTTCTAGGTGTTTGTACGTTTATGGAACAGAAACAGAAACAGAAACAGAAACAGATATCACATTTAACAAATCCTCTTTCTACTGTCGCGCTGCCACCCTCTACTGTTGCCCCACTTACCGATGATCATCAAGTGGGACGACACTAGAGGGAGGCGGCGCGACAGTAGAAAGAGGACTTGTTAAATGTGATATCGTCGGTAAGTGGGACGACACTAGAGGGTGGCGGCGCGACAGTAGAAAGAGGACTTGTTAAATGTGATATCATCGGTGGGATGCAGCACATACAGTGTGCATCTACATGTATATCTATCAGTACCGTGCGTGATATATTACTCAGATTCTAGTGACGTCATAGTCATGCATATTCATCACGCGCTCTACTGTCGTGCCATTTTATGCTACCATGAATCACGCGCTCCATGCTCCAGCACTCCAAAGTATAAGGTAAGGCGGTAATGCAAGAGTCCAGAACAACGAAATTGAATTTCTTTGCTGCCCATCATTATGAAATTAAAAAACAAAGTTCAAAGAGATGAAACTGGCTACGGTGATTGGTCAAAATATACTGGGGATGGGCTGCATTAATGAAGGGTAAAATAACATGCAATTTTGGATAAAAATTGGAGCAAACCATGTTGGAATTCATACCAAGTGATAGCCCCTCATTGAAAATGACTCTCATTGTTTTGTCATTTCAAGCGCGGCAAGAGCAAAAAAAAAAGAAACAGCACCGCCACTTCCGAAAAATGTGAATGCATACCACTCCCCCTTCAAAATAATTTGCATAAATTTGTGATTTGATTTTGCAACTTTACACTGTTGCCCACTCTGGTAATTGTCTATCTTCCTGCTCTTATAAACATACCAAAGTTGTAGCGAAGTTGTACAGCAAAGCATAGAATAACACAAGTTCTTTTTGTGGCATTTGCAACAATGCGCTGTTATGTATTCTTTAATCTCACTCATTTAAAAGTAATATCGAGTTTTCACAGAGCGCACTCACTGTGGACAGATTTGTATTATTTTTCGAAGTGTCGACTCGCCTGTATCACAGAGGAACAAAGACCTGTCCCCAGAGAGGGCGCTCTTTGCAAACTCTCTATGAAATAAGTTATGTACAGTTACGTTAACAAATGAGAGATGTAAATCTCTCCAATGTGAATTCAAACAAAAGTCAGGACCATTTCCAAATATACAAAACCAACTGAGCACTGAACTACTAATAATTGAACAAAAAAAATGCTCGAAATGGTAAGATAAAGACATCTTTAAATTTGTGCTTCATTTTAAGAAGCCTTTTAAACATTAGTAGTTCACACGACCTATGTTACACATATCCTATAATACATTAGAAATGTGCAGTGGAAAACAAACTGATATATTTTGGAAGTTATTTTGGACGGAAAGCTGACATTTTGTCAAAGGCAATAGGTGAAATACTTCATACTGATTTATAAAATTTGACCAAAAAATCTGGAATGAAAAAGTCACTTCCATATACATGTACACACACTATTATGTCCATACGGACATTTTGACAATGTGAAGAAATGTCTAAATCAATTACAACAAACTTTGAAATTTACACAAATTTATACAAAATTCAAAAAGAGAATTGCCCCCCCTCCTCGTGGGTGTGCTTTGAAGACAATTGAGACAGGGACAGCAGTTGGACATGTAACAAATGTCAAATATTCCTTGGAAGCATAAGAATTTTTCCTACATTTTTTTTCTTCTGGCAATTGCTCATAAAAATGTTGTGTTTCCCTTTCAGAAAGGAATTGGCGGATCGGGGGGAATGGGTGGTGGCTATTTTTATGCAAATATTTTACATAATGGAATCTTTTTACATAATGGAAAAATCCCAATTTTCTTAGCAACTCTCCCCATTTATTGCAAATCTTGATTCATATCTTCAGAACTCGTTATGCTTTTTATTTATTGACTCCAATGCCTCCTCAATGCCCCCCTCCCTCCTGAAAAATCTTGAGAGTTTCTGGTAATAAAGCCGTTCAAATGGCGCCTGTTTCCTGCCATTTTTGAATGGGTATTGGGTACCCAGGTATCCATCCAGGCCGTCTATTTAGCATGGAGATACGGCGATGTTATTGGCAGAGCATCCAGGTAGAAAGAGGAGGCTCTAGAACTGTGGATTCCCAAATCCAACCTGCTCCTGTACGTCGTGAATCTCCTGGAGTAGTTCCTCGTCCTTGAGGTGGACTTTGAGGGCGTACTTGTACGCTTGCTCCGCCTCTAACTGCCGGTTGGTGTGCAGGCAGACTAGGGATAGGTAGCCCCAGACCTCGGGGTCGCTGTTATTGAGAATGTTGGCTTCGCAGAGTGCGTCTTCTGCTTCCGATAGCTCTCCCAACTGGAAGTGACAGAATGACAGGAGAATGATTTACAGTCCATCATTTGTAATTTGTGCATTTTGTTAATTTAAAGCAACAAAAGTGCTCAAGATCTAAAGAAGGGTGCTGAACAACTAACCTGATGAATTTTTAGCTCATCTTTAGCTGTGTATTTCGAGAAAAACAACATTCTAGGATCTCGACTTCAAATCAAAAGTTGCTGAATCATGTTTTGAATTGGGCCTGAATTCAGCGTCCTAGACACGTTCTCACTGAGCCGATTGAAGCTACGCAATGTCGCGCAATGGTCCGACGAATTATAGCAACCGCGCGCGTGTGTGCGTCGATCCAATGCTTGCGCTCATCGCCGAATAACAAAACGAACTACTAATTTGAATTTCCTACGGTGCTTCTTAAGAAGCACCGTTGGAAAGGCCTTCTTTCGTTGATTACTTCAAAATGACAGCTTGCCAGAAAGAATAATTTCACAGGGAGTTTAGTCCCCTTACTATCTTTCAACCAAGTATGTTTTTTAACAATAATTATGCCAGTGACTTTTTGGATAGCTGCAAATGATGGACTCTGGCTTTAAATGATGATGGACTCTGGCTTTATATTTCGATAATTTAACTCTTTGCTGATGCAATTTATTGTGTTGTAGCTGATTCCATCAAAAGTGCAGCACAACTCCATCACCTGTCATCCTGTCTCAAGTCAAGTCCCGAGCTATGCAAAGGAACCCCGACAAAGGCACTGCTTTGTTACCGTTCAACTCCTGTCAGATATACTCACCCTATAGCAGGCAATGCCAACACCCAGCCATGAGATACAGGATGGGGAATTCTTGCACGCCATCAGGAAAACATTCTTGGCTTTCTGGAACTGTCAATGTTGAAAAACAAAACACTTGTCATGAAAAAACTATACAAACTTTACACATACATGTAGGTCGGTTCAGTATTCACATCACGATTTAATCATTTTTTCAGATCAGGGCAATGTTGATCACATCTGAATTTTGCATATCCAAGCAATACAAATAAATATGGAAATTCAGTTTTGCAGAAGGATGTTGGTGAACAATCAATTTTCAGTTGTTTTTGCTTCTTTGTTTGTTTGTGTGGATTTTTAAACTTTCGTCAGAAAAAGAAGTTTTCTTCAAATTTGTTGATACCCTATGAGTTTTTTCCACACACAATGGATTAAGAAAATGATTGTGAAAGTGGCATGTGATTTTGTTTTACACTGATAATCAATAGACAGAGCTGGGACAACTTTCATGCAGCTGCTTATCTGTTAGCAAAAAACGCAGTGCCAACCCTTGCAGAAATATTTTGCTAACCTTGGGTACATTTCATAACCAAGGTCATTTTTCATGACTGTTTTTAAGCAAATTCTGTATCTAAACTTTCCATGCTCTCTGCTTTAATCCCGTGAATAGAGTGGAAACAGGACATTTGTGACTTACTGTGGCAAAATGAGGAATGTCCCCCAAAACCATGTTTTGAGTAATCAACGCATGAAGTTGGGTACACTAATAAAAATTATGTCAAAATCAAAATTGTTTTTTTCTCATTTTTGAGTAGCCAAGTAATCCAAGATTCACACTAGGCATTTTTGTTGAGAAAAAAATATCCCCAAAAGTTGGAAACTGAAGATCGTTTTCCACTGCTGTTGGCGGCGCAATACGTATTTTTTTCTTCAAAGCCGTTTTTTTTTTTCAAAATAGGGTTGGCGAAATTCGGCGGGATACTGTTGAAGTTCCTGCGGCATATCTTTGGAATAAATTAAGCTGCAGAAATAAATTTGGTACCATTAGGAAGCCAATGAGTTGCGCTTTAACATGATGTATGTAACTTGAAAAGTCAAAGGTGGGGGTTATTCCTCGTTTGATAAGCCAGGTCACATTTGTGTGCGTAGCAACAGTGGTGTATCTAAGGTGATGAGGCATGGCATCCCCCTCCCACTTCAGGCCTGTCTCCCCTCTCCCTTGTTGCTTCCCCTCAGAATATGGGGAAGGCAAAAAAATGAGCTGTTTCAAATTTAAGCCCTAACGTGTCTAGAGTTTCATGTGCATGGATATAAATTTTGCTTCTTAAGAAAGCCTGTTCTATGCTGTGCGCACATTAAATAAATGGAGGTTCTGTTAGCGGAAAATCAAGTACTTCACAGACTGGGCCCTGGGCATATAAAGATTCCTTACATCTCCATCCTGCAGGTAGATGGATGCCAGACGAAGGTAGATAGCGTGCATCTCTCTAGCGTCGGCAACAAATGCCAACGTTCTTTCGTAACAGTCCTTGGCGTCTGGCATGTTGCCTTGAAGATAGCGCAAGTGACCCATGATAGACCATGCGTTGGCATCCTGAATATCACAACACAAAACCATTACTTATGTTAGATATCGTTTCGGTTTGCGGTAACACCATTTGGTAATAGCTACTGCTTAGAAGATATTTAGTTCTGAAAAGAACTTGTCCTGCTTATTATCAACTTTCGCTAAGTAGTTTTTGTTCTGATAAGAACAGTCCTGCATTAAGTTCTAAAAGAACTTGTCTTTGGTCTCAAGGTTTCGACTAGCCTGCTCTAGTCATCGTCAGGAGACTGTACTCCACCACGCAAAGCCTCAAATCTTATATGTTAGATATGTTTGGACAGTAGAAGTACATGATTACAACATCTGTGCTGATCAACTCGTCCTTGACCAAATGGTTTGTCATTGAACTCGATCTGTTGTGAGTCCCTTCTGGATGCATTCAAAGTAGGTCATGCATAGCAGGTACCTCCACCGCAACGCCCAGGTGTGCTTTTGAGGTACGGGGGCATGTGATCTGTGTGCCTGTCTGTGTTTGTTATTTTTGGGTTTTGGCCTTGTAATGGGCAACTTCCCAGAGGCGTAGCAAGGTCATTTTTATTGGGCTGGGGGTACAAACTTCGTGCAAAGGGCACTCGCACATCTGAAACCGGATGATCATGCACACTATAGCACTTTTTAGGGAAGAACAAATACCAATGGTCTTTGTAAAATTCCAAACAGGGCACTCGTAAAAGGCCTCTGGATAAAAAAGGGCAAAACTTGTTTCATAAAAAAAGAGCACTTGTTTAAAACAAAGGGCACTCGATTAAAAAAAAGGGCACTCTTTACAAATATTGGGGGTTAAACACTGGTGGAAAAAGGGCACTTGAATGGAAAAGGGCAGTCTTTACAAAATCCAATTGCTACGCCTCTGCTTCCCATAACAAAACAAAAAAAATTCCATCACAAATCCTCAGTATCAAGTCTAGACACAAGCTATTCACATTAACTGTGACAAACAGCAGTCGTTTGATTTATTTTAACTCCCCGTTAAAAAATGACTAGACTTGTGAATCAACCTGTGTTTCACTTGTGATGGACTTGTGATGGACTCCGCTTTCTCATTATTTTGGACACAAGATGGCCTAGCCCTTGCACAAACCTGATAGTTGAGTAGCAAGGCCTGGTTCAGACTATCCTGTGCTTCCTCTAGTTCCTTCCTCTGTAGCTTGAATCTGGCCAGCGCGACGTAGTACGCTGTGGTGGGGCCTCCCTTGGGGTCTAAGAGCTCATGGGCTAGGGCACGCTCACAGAACTACGGCGGGGGAATAGAACGAAAAAATATACATTGATTTGGGGACTTCGGTTGAATATAGGCTCATGTTCTGCTGAGATATTAATGACTTCTTAATGATTCCGGTGCCAGGGATGAAGCCGGGGCTGGCAATAATGCCAAATTTGTTTTAAATGGTATGTAAGACACGTGGAAAAATGAACAAAATCAAATGAAAAAATCCATGTGTTAAACTGTTAATTTTTGTTTGAAGTTGCCAAATTATCATCTGGCCTTCAGGTTCCAACAAAAATTCTCACCTGTAAAGCTTTGACTTCTAGGAGGAATTCCACAACAATCATGAAGATGCTTGATTCTGGGACAGGGACTGGCGGTTCCTTCTGATGTTCCTCTTGCTCGGCTGAGCCTGGTCGACTGCCCAGCTTACTGCCAGGGACGTTACTGGTAGCGCTGCGTACACGCTGGTTGTCTAAACTCAGAGCTGTAGGGAGTGGGATTTGTAAAGGTGGGGTTTAATCATTTGCAGCTGAACTACATTGTAGTACATTGTAGTACATTGTATTACATTGTATTACATTGTATTTATTCCCTGATGAATCCATAAAACCTTAAAGTGCTTGGGCGGTTTGGGGCAGTACTGAGTGTAACATACAGAGCAGTTTGGGGCAGTACAGAGAGTAACAGGCAGGGCAGTTTGGGGAAGTATAAGGAGTAACAGGCAGGGTGGTTTAGGGAAGTATAAGGAGTAACAGGCAGGGTGGTTTAGGGAAGTACAGGGAGTAACAGGCAGGGCAGTTTGGGGTGATACAGGGGGTAACGGGTATGGTGGTTTTGGGCGATGCAGTTGGGAAGTAACAGGCAGGGCAGTTTGGGGTGGTGCAGGGAGTAACAGGCAGGACAGTTTGGAGCAGTGCAGGGTGTGACAGGCAGGGCAGTTTGGGGCGGTGCAGGGAATAACAGGCAGAGCAGTTTGGAGCAGTGCAGGGTGTGACAGGCAGGGCAGTTTTGAGAGTTGTGGGGGGAGTAACAGGCAGGGCGGTTTGGGACAATACAGTGAGTAGCAGAAATGCCAACGGACCCCCTAGCAGCAGGGCGTACATGCTTCAATTAAATATCAATCCCCATGTTTTTTCTGGAAGCTACATCCGCCCCTGCATTCTGGCTGGTATTCTGCTTTTGCTAAGTACATAGTTTCTGTGCTAAGCATATTATCCGTGTGTATCAGCTCCACGAAAATGACCTCTTGCTTCAAAATTGTCTATGTACACATACAAAAAGTTATTTCAAGACCAAAAGTTTTGGATTAGATACTCAAAATCGATATCAAATAGCATCAGCAAATTCCAAAGAAATTATCATTAGTATTATTACAAGATTAATGCAATTGTTGGACAACGTTTTAGGAACGGCCTAAATGTTATATTTCAATACAATTATTTATTCACCGATAATTTCAAAACATTTTAATTAGTTCATGATTAATTTAGTTAATGCCTTCTGTGAATCAATATGTTCACTTAGGATGTTACCTAAAAGAATACAAAAAAGTGATATGTTAAAACCAAACCAGAGAAAAACCAAACTTGCAAAAAACAGAAAAATTGTGCGGTTACATATTGCTTGCAAAATCGCACTGCACTCGTACCTTTAACTGATGCCTCTGTGCCTACAGGAAGTGCAAGGAATTGTGGGAAAGGGGGAAATGTTTATCAACTGACTGATAAAACAGCTTTTCATGTTGTTGCTTTTACTGCAATACAAATCAGCAGTCTGTGTTTGCTTTAGCGTTAAACCTCCCGGCCAAATCCTTCAAATTCCAACAAAAGATTTGTAGGATTGTGTAGGATATAGAAGGTAGAGATTAGCTTTACATGTAGCTGGATGCCCTTTGAAGTTCAAGTACCAGGACTGTGTCATAACTTTGCAGCACAGCGAATGATTTTGTAGGATTCAGGAAGTTTCCTATCAAAAATGCCGAAGGAGTTCGGTTTTTGAAATGGAATGATATATGTGCTTGTGAAAACTATGCCCTGTGGTAATGGTTGGCAAAGCATATTTTTCTTAAATATATTTCTTAGATTGATTTCTAGTTTTTAATTTACACTTAGGGTGTGATCCCTGGCTACATATACAGGTTTATGGCCTCTGACTAGCACCCTTTGAACAAAGACATTGAAAAATTGGGGAACTACCAACATGGGGCTGGATAGCTCAGTTGGTAGAGCACTGGAACAGCAATCTGGAGGTTGCAGGTTCAAACCTCACTTCAGTCCCAAAAAAAATTTCAACTTTAAAATTATTATAATGTACCAAGTCAGATTCCCTTTGTGGTTTATTTGAACACTTCAATTTTGATTGAACAGTGCAGGTAACAATTTTCCTGTGCATTTTGTCACACTGGTGTTATTGGTGTCGCTACGTCTGTCCGTGTGTGCAAATAATTCTATTTGGAAATATCTTTACCTGTAATCAGCTCAATAGTTGGGATATCATCTTTCATGGAAATAACAAATTGAAACAGGGGCTTTTTATAAATTGTACTACAACTTCAATGTGCATAGTGAGCGATAAAAACTGATGCAGGATAAAGTTACATTTGATATGTCAATGCTAAATCAGGGGTGACTGGGATTGAGGGAAAATGAAAAATCAACAAACTAAACGACAGACGGGTTGAGGGTCACTGAGGGCCCCAGAGCAAACGTAGGGTCTATGATACAGTATATGGAATGTGATCAAGCTAAATGAGTCATTTGTCGGCAATTATGATTTTAAGATACAGCCCAAAATAGGTCAGTAGGGGTGGAAATTTCAAAATTGACTTTTCTGTAAAATCGGAAGGCTAAATATGTCCTCTTTCATGTCAATTATTTTTTTAAGAGAAAAACTCACGAAAAAGTAGTTCAAATGTGACTTTTTTGCTAAGGAGTTAATATTCAATAACATGAAATAAAGCATGTTTATTGTTGCTTAATAAACACTTCAATTTTGAATCGTTGATTTCTCTGTTTGATTTCTCTGTTTTCTTCTTTCTGATCTGCCTGTGTTTTTAAGTCCCATAACTTCTGAACGGAAGGTCGTATTCACATGGGGTTTTTACCAAATACAAACTGAAAGATAGCTCTATTCACACATGTAAAAATACAAAATTTGATAAGGGCCGACAAACGAATCATTTAGCTTGATCGCATCACATATGCTTGTATTTGCCAAAGTGGCATCCCTTAAAATACCAATTTCTTTTGTTCCTGTTTTTTGGGTTAATGAATGGGAGGTTTGCAGTAACATCATGTGAATGATATCTCTTAATGAGTTGTGTGGTTCTGAGAAGAACCAGTTTTTTTTTAATTGGAGTTAAACCAACTGGTTCTTGTCAGAACCACACAACTCACAAAGAGTTATCATTCACATGGTGTAACCGCAAAACCTCCCATTCAATGATCATGTCTACCATGCAAACCCTCAAGTTTTTAGGTTAAAACAACTTTAAAGTATAACCTCTGGAATTCCAGTTTTCAAAAGGGATTCTTAAAAAAAAAAGCTGTAATCAGGAAAATCCTCACAGAAATTAGGAAAAATCCTGACAAATTCCATCCCTGCCAAATGTTTCAAAGTACATGTAGGCCTGCTAGCAAAGAGTAGGTAAAGTGTATGCTAAACAAGTGAAAAGTTCAACTTTCACAAGCGTAATGCACTTTGAGTTCAACTCGCATAAAAGGTGCCCACATTCTTCCTGGGGCACATTGTGTAATAAAAAGCAGTGATGCATAATGGTGTGTTTTTGTGTGTGGTACGAGTAGATTTCTATTGAAGGCTGATACAGACGTGGGTGAAATGACCAAAAAAGGAAATAATATCAAAACATTAAAGGAACTATCTGGTTGTGGACGTGTAGAAATTATTCTTCCTACTTTTTTTCTTTCTTTCATTCAAACCATTTAGAGATCAAAATGAGGCAATTTTTTAAAACTTTATTCTTAGTACAAATATTGTACCAGAGCAACAAATATAGACTGACATTTTTCTGAAAAATCTTTACCTATGTAATAAAATTATGTAATAATTTTTGTTGTTGTAAACTTCAATTTTTTTGTTGTGTAGTTTATTATAAACAGGAGGTTACAGATGCTACCCCTTTGTCACCATTACAGGGTTTAACATAGGCATATTTTGACTACTCTGAGCTCAGAGAAACACATTCCCATTTATGTTTTTCACAAGAGACTGTACTGATGGGCTAACAAATTTAACCAGACTCAGAAGATATGTATTGTCACGCTGGCAGAATTTTGCAGTGTCTCTTTTTACGAGTTGATGCTTCATGGTTGTAGCAACAAAAACACCCCCCCCCCCAAAAAAAAAACCTCTCAAAAACCCTAAAACCTAACATATTGATGAAAGGACAAACCACAGTACAGACAACTAAAACAAAAACCACATGTTCACACAGACATACTTGTTCAGTAGTTGTGGGGACTACACACGAGTTGTCCCATGGTACTATGGGGACCGAAGACACTGTGGGGACAGCAGAAAGCCCCCATAACTTGGTCCTAATTTGCCTAACTATAAAAAACTTTCCCATAACGCGGTGACAGCCTGCCCACACACATATTTGTTTACGGTGTAAATCAAGGATTTTTTTATTGTTCCTCGTCATCGATGTTTTGTTTATACTTTTTGGCAACAGCTTCCATTGGTTTTGTACATGTTTTCTAATCAAAGTCGTCCCCGATTTGACATTGTCCTCAATTACTCGATGATGCTTTACATGTGTGTCCTTGATTTACACCATAAACACACACCCACACACATGTTTTACATAACTCCCGAGGACAAACCATTGTCTTTTCCTTTGTCCCTGAAATATAACACTCTCCCACAGACTAAGCACATAAACGCATGATCGAGGATCATTGTTCTCCCTTTGTCTGTCGACCCTTGCTCTTCAACATGTAAAAAAAACTCTTCAAAATGTTTTAACTTGTATGTTTTATTCCATCTGAAAAATAGTTTTTTCCTGGTTTGGATGTCTGCAACTCGATCTCTAAAAAAAACAGGTGTATATTTTGGGCACCAACAGATCCCCTTTGCCAGTAGACTGGCGCCCGGTCCATCTATTATCAATACTGATTGCAGGGTGGGAACCAGCCTACACTGCGAGAATGAAATTTCTGTTGGGCCGCAAGCAATTTGAAATATAAAGTAATAATTCAACAACTGAATGTGGTTCGATTTTTTTTTGGTCAATGTCTCATTAAAAGTGAATAACGTTGGCTAGAGAAATAGCAACTTCGAAAAGGATTTGTTTTTTTTCTCTGAATGAAGCTTGAAAATAGCACTGGAAATGTAACTTTATAGGTAGAGTCCATTATTTGCAATTTGTGCATTATGATCATTCAAAGCAACAAAAGTGCTCAAAATCTAAAGAAGGGTGCTTAACAACTAACCTGATGAAGGTTTGGCTCGGTGAATGCTGTTTATTCCGAGGAAACTATATTCTAGGATCTTGATTCCATGAGTCATGTTTTGAATTGTGCCCGAATTCAGTTTCCGGGACATGTTCTCATCGAGTCGATTGCAGTTGCGTGATGTCGCGCACTTACCTGACGAATTATAGCAACCACGCGTGCGTGTGCGTCGTGTCAATGCTTGCGCGTGCTTTGCCGTATTAAAAAAACGAACTACTGACGGAAATTTCCAAAAATGCGCCTTTAGACACATCATTGGAAATTGCCTTCTTTTTTTTGCAATCTTCAAAACGAGAGCTTAGCAGAAAGAACAATTTCACAGGGAGTTTAGTTACTATCTTTAAACCAAGTATGCTTTTTAACAGTAATTTTGTCAGTTACTTTTTAGATGCAAATGACGGACTGCAGCTTTAACAAACGAGTCAACACGAAAGTACAGCGTTCACTAATAAAATGAGGTTGCAGTTGTCAGATTCAAGTCGGTTGTTGTGTCCCTGAAAAATCCCTGAACACACACACCTTACAGCATGCACAGGAACTACATTTGTCTTGTCACTGAAATAAATATCTGTACCTTTAATATTGATGGATGGATCACTGATTCTCTGTTTGCTTTTGTCAGTGTTTTTTTTATCGACCTAAAGGTTCAGGGACGTGTCGAAACCAAGACAACGACACATAACTGCCATGGAATTACATGAACTCTGTACTACATGTACTTCTATAAGTGAAATCAAGGTATGTATATTCATAAGATGGAACGAGCGTCAGGGTGATGTAACTTCACTATTGGGTTTTGTGTTTATAAACATATGTCGGTAAAGGGCAAAATCCAATAATTCAATATGGAAAAATGACAGAGCATTGCTTTTGAGTGAATGTGAGAAAACAAATGTGTAGTGGAATGTAAAAAAGCAGATTATGAGACATGAATCTGTAAATTTGAGCAGCAGGAAAATGTGAAAGAAACTTGTTCAAAATGACTTATTTTGGAAGTCACATTTCAGGCTGTTTAAAGCTACAGTCCATCGTTTGCAGCTCTCCAAAAAGTAAATAACATAATTATTGTTGAAAAACAACATACTTGGTTGAAAGATAGTAAAGGGAACTAAACTCTCTGTAAAATTACTCTTTATGGCACACTGTCAAGACACATCGATGGACATTTCCGTTAGTAGTTTTCTTTATTCGGCGAAGCGAGCACAAGCATTGACACGACGCCCACGTGCATGCAGTTGCTATAATTCGTCAGATCAGTGCGCAACATCGCGTAGTTGCAATCGGCTCAGCAAGAACGTGTCTCCGACGCTGAATTCAGGCCCAATTCAAAACATGATTCAGCAACTTTTGATTTGAAATCGAGATCCTAGAATGCTGTTTTTCTCGGAATATACAGCCGAAGCTGAGCTGAAACTTCATCAGGTTAGTTGTTCAGCACCCTTCTTTAGATTTTGAGAACTTTTTAGCTCCAAACAAACAAAATGCACAGATTGCAAATGATGGACTATACCTTTAAGAAGTCTTTGCCTTTTTTTATTGCCAACTGATTGCTGGTGACTTGCCGGAATATAAAATATCTTTCACCATGTAAGGGCCATGAAAGCGTTGGCCCCAAAATACCTTTATGTTCCCCCTTGATTTTCTCTTTAGAAGCATTGGGAAGTGCACCCTCTTGCACACAGACATTTCTTACAAAGAGATTGACAATCAATTGGGTCTACAATGCACGCTGTACAATGAATAGCAGTATTATATTGCTTGAGCTATACGGGTCAAGCCAATGCACCCAGGAAAGGAAAAGCACAAAGCTCAGTTATGAAAGGGTGAATATTCAACTTGCTATTTTTTGCTGGAAAGCAAATTTACCAAATCCAAAGTACATGTGGATGAAGGCGAGTTCTAATCATTTTCATCGTGAACAGTAACCTAAGTAACAGATCCCCTTTTCAAATTTACACATACATGTACATGTATATGCTGACTCCACTTTGATTTTTTAAAAATCTCTATCAGGCTTGAACTCTGACCTACTTTGTAATGAGGCATATGCAGCATGTTCCATGCAAAACTAGCAATTGGTCTCATTCTATGGGACTATTTTCCAACTGCATTCATGATGACAGAATCACAGACACACACTCACCAGACTTAGACGACACCGACATTCGCTTTTTGGGAGCCTGGGGTTTGTCCTTTGATTGTGGGCGGATCGGTATCTTAGCATCAGTGGGCGTGGCAGGGGTCTTGGTGAATTGAGGCACCAAGGCACCCTTCTCACTCTCGGCTATTGATGGGGAGGGGATAGGATGGAGCAGGGGTGGGAGGAGCAAAGGGTGGTTGTAACAATGGGTGAGGATGAAGGGGATGAAACGGGCCAAAAAGTAGGAGTTAGGGGTTGGTGGGGTAATTGAGAGGAGGAACAAAGGGTGGGTGGAGAATGGAGTCAGTGGAGCAATGGGTGGGAAGAGCAATGGGTGGAAGGAGTCACAGGGTAGGAGGAGCAAGGGATGGGAGAAGAGGGTTGTTGGGCAAGAGGTGGGAGGAGTAAGGTTTGGGAGGAGCAATGAGTGGGAGGAGTCATGGGGTAGGAGGAGCAAGGGATGGGAGGAGAGGGTTGTTTGGGCAAGAGGTGGGAGGAGAAAGGTTTGGGAGGAGCAATGAGTTGGAGGAGTCATTGGGTTGGAGGAGCAAGGGATGGGAGGAGAGGGTTGTTTGGACAAGAGGTGGGAGGAGTAAGGTTTGGGAGGAGCAATGAGTGGGAGGAGTCATGGTAGGAGGACCAAGAGATCGGAGAAGAGGGTAGTTTGGGCAAGAGGTGGGAGGAGTAAGGTTTGGGAGGAGCAATGAGTTGGAGGAGTCATGGGGTAGGAGGAGCAAGGGATGGGAGGAGAGGGTTGTTTGGACAAGAGGTGGGAGGAGTAAGGTTTGGGAGGAGCAATGAGTTGGAGGAGTCATGGGGTTGGAGGAGCAAGGGATGGGAGGAGAGGGTTGTTTGGGCAAGAGGTGGGAGGAGTAAGGTTTGGGAGGAGCAATGGGTGGGAGGAGTCATGGGGTTGGAGGAGCAAGGGATGGGAGAAGAGGGTTGTTTGGACAAGAGGTGGGAGGAGTAAGGTTTGGGAGGAGCAATGGGTGGGAGGAGTCATGGGGTTGGAGGAGCAAGGGATGGGAGAAGAGGGTTGTTTGGACAAGAGGTGGGAGGAGTAAGGTTTGGGAGGAGCAATGAGTGGGAGGAGTCATGGTAGGAGGACCAAGAGATCGGAGAAGAGGGTAGTTTGGGCAAGAGGTGGGAGGAGTAAGGTTTGGGAGGAGCAATGGGTGGGAGGAGTCATTGGGTTGGAGGAGCAAGGGATGGGAGAAGAGGGTTGTTTGGACAAGAGGTGGGAGGAGTAAGGTTTGGGAGGAGCAATGAGTGGGAGGAGTCATGGTAGGAGGACCAAGAGATCGGAGAAGAGGGTAGTTTGGGCAAGAGGTGGGAGGAGTAAGGTTTGGGAGGAGTAATGAGTTGGAGGAGTCATGGGGTTGGAGGAGCAAGGGATGGGAGAAGAGGGTTGTTTGGACAAGAGGTGGGAGGAGTAAGGTTTGGGAGGAGCAATGAGTTGGAGGAGTCATGGGGTTGGAGGAGCCAAGGGATGGGAGGAGAGGGTTGTTTGGGCAAGAGGTGGGAGGAGTAAGGTTTGGGAGGAGCAATGGGTGGGAGGAGTCATGGGGTTGGAGAACCACAGGATGACAGAAGAGGGTGGTTTGGGCAAGAGGTGGGAGGAGTTAGGGGTGGGAAAGGTGACGGAATGGGCAGAGCGATGGGTGGAGCAAAGCAAGCAAAAAAGCAGTTTTGTTGTTACAAGCAAGCAATGAGTTTGAATGGTTAAAAGTAACCACATAAATGAGCAAATAATTTACAGCCATCATCTGTAGTAACCAGCCACCAGATGAAAGAATGGGCTACTTAGTATAAAATTCAAAGATGTAACAGTATTAGCAGCAACATATTAATTTAATGGATGCCAGCCAACATATAGCAAAACATTAGGTTTCAAATAAAAAAATGCCTTCAAACAGACTGTAAAAACTGTGCAGCAAACAAATACCAAAGTCAAAAATATATGTCATGACAATTATTGATTTTCTTTGCTGTGATACACGTCCACAGTGACCATTCCAGAAGCAAATGGCCACATCACATTCCCTCTCTAAGCTAAAAAAAAAAAAAAATCAGTCTCCATTATTTACATTTTTATGGCTGTTAACACATTGAATCATTTGGACACAGGCCAAGCAACGCATGACATGGTTGTTCATCCATTCACAATGTTCACACCATGTACTGCTCATATCTGTTCAAAACTGGGTATGTACCCAACTAAAAACTGTACCCAACTAATAACTGCACCTAACTAAGTACTATTGTATCAAAAAGAGCTCTTCCTCGAAGCTCAAAAGACTGTGATGATCATATTATTGCGACTTCAGACATGTACAAGCAAATCAAAATTGATACCTTTCTCGCTGGCCTGTTCCTCCCCAGCCTTAGCCAAGTCCCCGCCCCCAGCTGTCTGCTGAGACGCATTAGCCTGCTGCTCGGCTGCTTGCTGCTGTTTCATCTTGGCTACGGCATTGGCTATGTTGATCTTCTGTGCCTGCATGAAGGCGTACTCCGCTTGAATATCCTGATTGATGCCGTCGTAGAACAGACCTGAAGGTGACGAAGATATAACAACCAATCAAAAAACAGTGCCCGATTGAAACCTGTTTCGGCATAGCATGCCAGATATGAGTCTTCATTCAACAATTTGAATGAAGGAAATGAAAAGTTTTGTGTTTGAAACAGTTAGGAATGACTTTTTTATGCAAGACATGGAAAGTTAGACTCTTGTAGTTATTTGAAACAACTGTGCACCCTCTGATTTTAGATGCACTCCCACCAACAGAAACAAAATGCATACATGCATGCAGCTTGCAAAAATATTCATCCGAAATGAATGTTTCCAAACCTGTGGTGTCCGCTGCATGAAGTGATTAAAGCTAAGTTTAGGTGGAGGTGGCAATGGTGCACTGTTCTTTGGAACCCACACGACTGCAGATGAAATTGTTCAAACTCTACTCAGTATGCGTATTCTCTAGTATCCTCCACTGTCCTCTATTTAGAAAACAGTGTTGTAGTTCAGTTCATCACAATTCCACCCCAATTCCATTACAAATCCGATCACAACTAAGTCACAAGTCAATTCACAAGTCCGGTCACAAGTAACAGGACATGAACAATATTAAAGGAATGTCTTTGTCACAGTTCGTTGAAATAGCTTGTGACGTGTGAGGACTTGTGATGGATTAGTGAGGACTTGTGAAAAATTTGAGGACTTGTTATGGACTAATGAGGACTTGTTATGGACTAACGAGGACTTGTTATGGACTAACGAGGACTTGTTATGGACTAGTGAGGACTTGTGAGGACTTGTGATGGACTAGTGAGGAGTTGTGAGGACAACTTAGGACTTGCGATGGACTTGCGATGGACTTGTGAGAACTTGTGAGGACTTGTGAGGACTTGTGAGGATTCATGAGGACTTGTGAGGACTTGGGATGAACTCAACTATAACACTGCATGAGTAGGCCACACAACACCATCTACAATTCCTACAACAGGTTTGAAGAATGTTTAGATAAAAAATCTGCATACCCAGCATAGTCCAAGCCAGTACACTGTCTGGGTCCACACAGGTAGCTGACTCGAAGAAGGTCTCTGCGACATCGTTTCTCTCCTCGATGGAACAGACAACCCCATACAGGAGCAGACCGTGAAGATGTTGAGCGTTGATGGAGACTGTCTCTTTGAAGCACTCCTCAGCCTTTAGGAAAACGAGAAAAGTTGTAAGTCTGTTTAACAGTGATGTAACAAATTTGAAGGAGCAGTTAATTCTGGTGATAGTGTAGTAGTTACGGGCTCCTCTTTAGTTTCGGTCAAATTAGACAAGGGTGTTTTTTATCATTAAAAAATGACCTTTAAAACCTAAAACAGACTTCTCTCAATTCTAATGACACCTTTTTTTTGTAATTTTGAACAGTTTCTTGGGGTAGAAATTACTATTTTCCTATGCGGTTTATGGTTGGTGCCGTGAGATTCACCGTGCCTTGCGCGTTCATGTTACATTGCGGTGAGCGCCATCTTTATTTTCGTGTTGTTTTTTGTCGTTTTACCTCCAAATTTCCCTCAAAAATGTCAAAACCCTGCCCTCTATCTATGACAAACCTGCATGTTCTTAATGTCGTTTGGTTACTTTGGCATTAAAAGTCAAATATATAAGAAGTGAATTTTGTTCTCTTATAGAAAACCGGGCCCGTAACTACACGATTGCCTTAAACCCTGTACCACTCCAAACTGCCCAGCACCGTCTGGTTTGACGGATTCATCGGGGAATAGAGACAATAAACTACAGGTGTTCAGTAGAAACATTGTTTGAATTCTACACGGCAGAGTTGTAGTCAAGACAACTACAAGTAAACTCACAAGTGAAATCACAAGTAACAATGGATGAACAATGATAAAGTATCCCTCTGGATACGCCACTGCTTGTAATTGACTTTAATTGACTTGTGATGACTTGTATTGGACCGGTGATAACTTATGATTTGCCTTGTGATAGCTTGTGATGGCTTGTGATGACTTGTTATGATAAAGAATTACCTTAGCGACATCATTGATGAGAAGGCAGAATGTGCCGTAGTCAAACCAGTAATCTGCATCATTCCTGTTTCTTGCCAGCCTCTGAAAAACAATTTACAACATCACACAAAACCTTTAAAGTTTCAACGCTTTTGGCATTAAAATGGGACCACATTTACGTCAGTAACGCTTGTCATACAAATGGGGGCCAGCATGGTGCAAGTTCGATCAAAGACCGTAGTTAACCAGGGTTTGACTAACTCTGACCAAACGCACGCTAGTCAACGATGGCTGGACAAGTCTAGTCGACCATTCAGGACCAGCCTACCACGGCTGGTCGCGCCATGATTTATAGCCGGTGATCAATTGCAATTTTTCATAACATGGTGCAGAGGGGACCAACTATCAACAAAAATGGTATACAAACAAAAACTGTGAGTGCTTAATTTCATTTTCATTGCATAGTTTTTCCATGTTAGTGTACGATTCTGTCACGTTTGTCACCATTGTACAATAATACTGGTGATTATGTAAAGTATCCTAAACCACATCACTATTATTTGTGTAATAAACAGACACATTAAGTGTTGAAAAATGTGTTACCGGATGTGCGACCACCATGTTCTCACGTTCGTTGACATGACAATACTTCGACTAGAGTCGTTCGCACTTCAACTTCAGTGCGCATGCGCTAGGTACGTCACAAACCAACTGCTATTTAATCATTGGTCCTTGATCGAACTTGCTGCTAGTGTTCTCTTTCTACCTATATCCCTGAGTGACTGACTTGTTGACTGACTGTCACTTGTGAATTAGACTGGTTGAAGCCTGCTGAAGAGAGCCGGGCAGTGCTATCATATAGGATTACCCTGTAAATGCCAATGAATGGGCTAAATCCGACCCATTGTGGAGACCAGAGTCATGAGAAGACTTTCAGTAAATAGCAAATCTGTATCAGTTGAATAGAATTTTGCACACTTCTCACAGTCTAGCGTCCTTTTTGTACTGATATCACTGAGTGATTGTCAGTTGTGACCATAGAGCTATATTAAATTACTAGAGCGCTAACTCAATGTACAAAGTAATACCTGATGGGCGCATCCATGTTTGTGCACAAACCTATGGAAAACTCAAAACTTTGTATAAATTCAAAATGTCTGCGCCCAGAGCGGCTTCAAAGCTTCTCCGCGCGCAAGAATGAGGAGTTAGCGCTCTAGTACGGGTAATTTAATATAGCTCTATGGTTGCGACTTAAACTGACCTGGGACCAGATTTCCTAGGATTACCTAGTCTTGTCATTTGATGAATAACAAAACAACTCTGACAGGGAGAAATATTAGACCTTCTTTGACCAACAAAGACAGCACCTAACAGAACATGACCCACCTCCTGGTAATACTTGGCAGCGAGCTCAAAGTTCTCGTTGACCTCGGCCTCTCGGGCGAAATGCTTGAGCTGGGAGCAATCAGTCAGCGGGGCGGGGACCGGCGTCTCGTCCTCGAGGGACAGGACCTTACCTAGCCCACAATGCATCTGGTCTACCAGGAAGACGTACAGCTCGCTCAGGAAGGCCTGATGATGGAGGCAAAAGTAACAAATAACCCATTTAAGAGTGGCGTTCCAGAGTTACGTCAAACTAGAAGTATTCATAGTAACTATTGTCAAACCCAATGGAGTTTTATTTCAGACAGGTATACTTTCTGTATTATATAACCGACATACAGATCCTTGTCATTCGATTGGTGGAACTCACATCACATGACATTCGTTATTGCCCCCATTCATGAAAGGGCTCAAAAAGCCCATCCGCCCATGGGGAATGGGAAATACTATTGAACAGTTAGGATCATTCTCGTTCCATGATGTGGTATTTGTGTGCAAATGTATGTTGGAGTGCGCGTTCAACATTGCGCGTAGCGCATATTGTTCCAAAGAGCCAGCGCTAAAGCGTTGGGTTCAAACATTTTCGTGAAGGGGTGATTTGGAAGCGAGAAATACATTTTCCACCAATTTTGTATTGTTATTATATCAAATGACAAGGATCTATATGTCAGTTATATAAAACAAATATTGAGTGGCTTTAAATTGTGAAATGGGAGGAAAATTTTCGCTTGGTACAATCTGGACTTCACCTCGTGAAATGGAAAAGTCCAGATTTTACCTTGCGATAATATTCCTCCCATTCCACGCTGAGCCCCTCAATATTTGTATACTATATTTCAATTGAGTTGACTCTTGAGTTGTTTCGAACGATTACAGTTGATCTTTTGCATAGAGTCATTCCACTTTTTCAGTTGTCAAATTTTATTTCTGATTTTAGAATAATTTAGTTTAGCATGTCCCTGGTACGCCAGTCTGTAAGGCCAAAAAAAAAAAATATTCGGTCTCTGGTCAGACCAAAGTTCCGGAATTGACGCGGCCACGCGGCTTTTTTTTTTTTTTTTTTTTTTCTTCAAGCTTGGATTGTACAGACAAGGTGGGTACTATTTTGCTTTTTTGCTGTCCTCATTTGCCTTGGTGCAATTTCCCATTCCTTGGTGCTCTTTGGTAAAAAAGATTGAGGAGGTGCGGAAATAGAGGGCGCTGTTGGAGCTACCGCGGAACATTTTGGGAAAAAAAAAAGATCGACGCGCGCGCTGACCAGAGACCGACTTATTTTTTTTTTTTGCCTAATAGACGGTATTTTTTATTAATTAAAAAAAACCCAAAACATGATTATTCATCCATCACTAAGCTAGCTCTCCATTTTAATAGAGCTTTTTTTATGAAACAGTGAAAAAAGTGAAAACTCATTCTTCTACAAAATGAGAGTATGATGTATGTGCAATATTTGCATTTGCAATTACTTGTAAAAGCAATATTTTTCTTTTCTAAAAATCTATTTCGCACACCACTGTTTAACACAATGACAATATTCATGGGCTAAAACGTAATTAAGTGACTTTTATTTTTACCTGAAGCTCTTCTTTGTTGTCAAAGGCACTGGTTTTGAGGTATTTCTCACGGACAATCTTCACCACAGAATGCTGAAAATAAAACACAAAATATAACTTCTCAGCTTACACAATTTCTAGTAGGTATGATCGACTCTTGTATTTGTGATATATTTTGGAAACTGTAGTTTTGTTGGTCAAGAACAAGCGTCAAGTTTGTAAAAACGAATGGGACATGATTTACATTATTAAAATTCACCTTGCACATCATTTGCATCACAGCATAAGATGCATAAAGGGGTCTTTCTTCAGTGATGGGTAATTTTGACGGACACAAATATTACATGACTATTTTATTAAGAACCATCAATCAAAGAGTAAAAAGTTGTATGTGATATTGTCAAGTATGTATTAAAGATATATCAGAAATAACATGAAAAATCATTGGTTGATGTGTTTGTTTATTATTCACTTAACTCTGAAGAATGCGCCCCTAAAATGGTGCTAAATATTGTGACATTTCCTGATGGGCAGGAAACTATTGCTTGTTCTCTCTGTTTCAGTCTCAGTAATAAACTACACTGAAGTTGTATGAAGTGTTGAGTTTCCCCCCATATAAATAATATAAGTTGCAACCACTGTGAGCTCACTTGTAAATACACGCCGACTGTCAGGCGTGCCATTACCCACGTAACTGTGTCCGTCAAAATGTTACGTGTGTTATCCCTTGCCAGATCAGAAAATCCAAGCCTTGTATCCCCACCTGGTTATGACTGTTTCATAGCTTTGTTATCTCCTGTGTGATCCATATCATGACAGCGAATGTTTCCGTGGAAAAGTTTCACAAAACGGACAACGAAATCCAACTTTCCGTCAAATTATCACGTGGGTACTTTCACGCTCGTTTGCAAACTCAGAATTAGATGGATCTCCTGCTGACTTCTGGAACAATCTTTCCAACTTCCTAACGGACGTGTCATGTTTGGTATTCCGTCACCAGAGTTACATGGGCAATCACGTTACGAGAGTAATTACAATATTCTTTGTATTTATATAGCTGAAACAAAATATGGTAAAAGGAGGCCAGTCACATTAGCTGTGGTTCCCTTATGTTTATAAACTTTTGCCATACATATACGCATGCAAGTTCAAATTGAAATAAAACCACTGAGCAGGTTTTTTGGTTTTTTTACTCAACTTTGCCTCAGGAAACAGAAGGGTCCATGGATCACCTCGGGAGGCTAGTTTTACCACACCAATAAAAAAGCATTTGACATTTGTATACAAGTACCTTCAGCTGTTCCTTGAATGCAAAGTACTTTCCCGATGAATTCAACTCATACGTGAGTTTCCTCCGCCTATCTTCTTGATCATCGCTGGAGGATGGGAGCTCACCGTTGTCAAGCTGGCCAGCAAACAAACTCCTGAGAACACAAACGATAAAATCAAAGATTCAGCGAAAAATACAGTTCTGGCTTCAATTTTTTTAAGCAAAAAAATATTTAAAAAAATATTAGTAGAATTGTTTTCAATAAAAGGGCCATACAATGTAAATTTGTTAATGCAATCTTTCACAAATGCACTTTTGTGTCCCATTTAACCTCATTTTCAATTTTCGTTTTGCCATTTTCAAGGGTATTTTGGTACCCTTTTGGCTATTATGCTAACGCGAATTTTCATATTCATGAGCAAAAGTGTGATGTCATTCCAGGCAGAAAAATCGCTGTTAGAGTTATTTCAGCACCAACAGTTGTCAGAATTTGGGATAAATTGCTGTCAGAAATTTTCTTTTCAGTGGTGATTCGTTGTGTCAGTAAATGGCAGTAAGCCAATGAGTAAACTTTTCTCATAGATATTTTCAATGAGCAAATTTTAGGATTCACAATTTGAACAAACAAACTCTAAACTGAACAGTGTCTTCCTGAAATGACACAGTGCCCTCAATTGTCCGGAAAAAAATGAACATTTTAAATGTTTAAAGAAGTGCACTTTTCAATAAAATGAACCAAAAAGGGATGTACAATAGTTCTATACTTTTTAAGAGGAGTAGAAAGTTGCACAAGATATGTTCCTGAGGAAAATGTATTTCATGGACCCTTTAACTTCAAATAACACTTTGTTTACAGGGGCGCTACCTTATGAGAGCTAAATTAGGCGAGGTCGACATCCCTTCATCCTAACCTGGCTACCATTTGCAAGCACATATGTAACAAAACATGAAATCATTTCAATTTCAGGTCTACAGGACTGAAGAAATGGCAATTTCATTTAGATATTAGAGTCCAAAACTATGTTTTCAACATTCAAGTTCACCATACCTGAATTCTTCAAGGACCATGCTGCCAATGTTAGCCACCTGGTTGTGGAAGTCTTCCACTGCCCGCTGCGCACCGTTGGTTCTCCGTGGGAATAGAGGCCTCGGTGGAATGTACTCAGCCACTCTGATTGGTTAATGGAAAATATAAGCCATGAATTTGCAAGAGGTCAGAGTAACTAGACAAAAATACTATTTTATTTCAATTTCAGAATGTTTATAATAATTATATCCTGAAGACAAGCGTAACTAAATTTTGCCTTTGAAGTTCCAATAAACGTGCAACACACTAACAATAAAAAAGTCTGATATCTCTTTGGAGGAATTTTTTAAAATTTTACATAAGTGCCCGTTCCTTGATGAATCTGAATATTTTATAAACCATTGAGGTAATTTCAGATAATCAGTTCCGATAATCAGATTTTAATGGGAAGTTAGGATTTAAAAACTGAGCAATGCAAAAAATGTTAATGACCCCTTTGCTAGCATTTGCTAGCAATGCTGTTCAATTTTGAGCAACCAACTTTTCCGAGAACATCGTCCCACGATACAATATAGTAGTGTAGCAAAACCTATAATGCCTAATTCAGACTTGTGCCAACCCAAATTATTCTAAAGACTGGAATTATACACATGGAAAGTTCAATGTTTGAAACTGAAGAGACTTCATCAAAAGATCGATTGTTTCAGTTGTTCGGAACAACTCCAGAGTCTCACTACCCGGCCTACATGCATATGTACATCAGAGAACCACAGAAAGTCAGTGTTGGGCAAAGATCGTATAGGGCAATTCCACGGTTACTCACGTTACATTTTCGTAAAGTGAGTAACCGATTTTGTGCGTCTTGTTTATCATACATAACACACTTTTCTGGATGTCATCTTTGGTGCTTACGTAGGTCTAGGTCTACTCTATCTACCATGGGGATAACAGTTATTAAACCTTTTCAGTAAGGTAATTCCAGCCCAAGGAAACTCAAAAGTACATCAAAAATGTAACATGAGTAACTGTGGAATTGCCCTATAGCAATCCGCTCAGTAGGTAGTAGGAAAGCCTTCAAAGCTGTGAGGGATGGCAAAAATCTGAGAGAAAAATGCAGAGGCAACACCCAGTGCCGGGTACGCACGATTATGACAACCCTACATATCACAAGCGGTGAGTGACCTATGCCATTTGATAAAGAAATTCGCAGTTATTTTATGTGAAAATAAACCCTACTGTCTTCAACGCACAGTACGGTTGTTAACCAAACGCTTGCCTACTGCAATGGTGGCCGATCGCGGGGAAACCAGATGGTCAGCCAGTACTTCGACCTATGTCACAATTTCATTCAGCGGGACTCTGGAACCCCACTAACAAATTTAGAACGGATGAGACTCACCGCTTGGCCAGCTCCTCAGGCAGCCTCTTTGGCACCATGGATCTCTGCAGAGTGAACTCCAGAATGACGTAGGTCCGAGCCTCATCGTACTGCATGCCTTCAAGGTTCTGTTGAGGTGGGGCTTCCACCTCAGACATGGCGTCAGGGGCCTGCTGGCCTGGCTTCAGCATTTGAGATGGCTGTGTAAACGAAAATATTGAAGCCGCACTAATTTAATAATGCTCTCCCATGATATTTCCGAGTTTCAGCCCGAAAAAAAGGTATTGCTTTGAAATTGTCATTTTTGTAGCATTGCAAAAATTACTCACTTCTGAATAAGACACTGAACAAAAACAATCTGCAAATGATTTGTCATGGTATATTCATTTTTTTATGTCAAATTACCTGCGGTCCGACAATATTCAGGTGTATCTTTTTGTGCATTATGGGTGCAAAAGCAACCCACAATAAAAGCAAATTTTCAGAGGGCTTACAACATCCAACATAGAAAAAGGAGCTTTTTCCGTATCCCCAAAAAACCAAACAAATTGATAATTTTGTAAGGACAAACAATTGAATATGATGAAGAGTACGAGTACAGCAACTTTAATTATTTATTTAACCGGGTAACTTATCAGTTACCAAGAACTGTTCAATCTGGGGGCTAAAATATCGCTTGCCAAAACGCTTTATAAAATATTTTTTTTACACTTTGATGTTAACTTTGACGTAAAACAAATGCTCTAGTCAGGCATGCAACTGGGAATTTAGAAAAAAAACAAGGAAACTCCAAACCACACAAGACTTTGTACTGTGTTTTTCAGTTTGTAATGGCATTCATGAGAAGTAAAAAATGAGGAAATCAACAGATCCGAGGAAAAGTTGCATGCCTGTCTAGTTTGAGGTGTTATTTGGTCAATCCTGAGGACGATTTGTATTCAACTGCAGATGGAAAAACTAGATTCTTTAGGAGGCAGTTAAGTCTTGACTCTTTGTTTCAAGGGAGGGCTCTCTGGTGTCTAACAGTTGAGAGATATTAGGATGTTTTCACATTAGTGAGATGAAGTTTACCAAACTCTAAAACTGAGCAGTTCTTCATCATGTTTTCTCTTAGTTTCTTCATGCTTCACACTCCTTTTATTTTATTACCAGAAAGAATTTTGTTTTCCAACATTTTCCATCGATGTCAAGACTTAACATCAATTTCACTCACCTTCTTAGCTGCATCTTTCTCTTTGTCTTTCTCTTTTCCTCCTCCTTTCTCATCCTTGCCTGCTTTGCCGCCTTTGATTGATGGGGATGCGTTCCGATACATAGAGGTCGCCATCCTGGCAGCTTCATCCGCCAGGCCACCCTTCCTCTTGGTCTAGAAATGTTATTCAAATTCCAAAAACAAATTTTAGCAATTGTCAACTGTTGTTTTTATATTTTACTTTTCATTGCTCCATGGAAGATTAAATGGTCCATCTTTCTTGAAAAGATTACCAATAATAATTATGATAGTAGACCGTGCTAATAAAGCGCATTTCACACAATGCCCAAATGCAATATACAAGAGTCATTATTACCCCTGCTCACTGGGCCAATGAAACATTCCAAAGACCATCTCAGCTCCCTGGGGAGTATATAGCTCGATGCTGCCATTTCCACGCAGAGCAGATGAAATCAATCACAATAACCATCACTGCCCTCACCGGGTACCCATTTACTCCTGGGTGGGGAGAAGCAATGAGTGACAAAGTGCCTTGCCCAAGGGCACACGCACCATAGCCCCAGGCTGGACTCGAACCCACAACCTGCAAAATTACCCACAGACCACAAATCCACGCCACTCCATCTCAACCAGTCTTGGGCTTCAAATTTAAACCACTTGGATTTCATTTATCATGCAAAATATTACAAACTCAAAATTGGCTTTTGAGATATTCAGCACATCTTTGCAATATGGCAATTTTGGAGAATTTTATTGACTAGACTCTTGAAACTACTTAGCTTTGGCCAGCTATTAAATAGGCATGTGACTGTCGGCCATTGTCAGGTATAATTATTATTATTAATAATTTGAACACAACATAATTAAGAGTGAAAGTTGGCCCTGTTTTGTTTTGTAATCTTGTCTGCACTTGAGTCTAAGGCCGTGTCCAATTCTTGTGTCTAGAGCTGGGTCTAGGTCTTTGCCGGTTGCAAATGTGTGGGCAAATGCTGGCAGCAGATGTAGCCGTACCTCTGGAAGCCCGTATCGGGCACAGCCTATGTCTGATTTCCTTAACTCAATACCACAATGACTGAGTAAAACCATTTCAGTAAAGAGACATACCTTCTCCACAATTTCCGCTTCATTGTAAGCATGCACCCTGAATGCTCCTCGTATCTTGTTCACTGGAGTCAACGAAATACAAATGAGGTTTATGCATTAATGTCATTCATAAAAATTATTCAAAATATTATGAACTTTAGAGTCACATTTGCCTCTCTCCACCCAGAGTAACAAATGTGTAGCTATGAGGTTAGAGACCAGATTGCACTGATCTCGGCGGCACAAAAGTGCTCTCATGGCCTGATGAACAGGGGTAATAACTGTGAGCGCTTTGAGACTTATCTTTGGTTGAAAGTGCTATATAAGCAACACACATTATTATTATTATTACATGTAGATCACCGAAATCTGTGAGATTTTTGTAAATGACCTGAGATTTTTTGAGACTAATTTCAAAAGTCATTCTGCCTTCACCATAGGCAAAGTTTCAAGCTGCATTTCAATTTCAATTTTCTTCATTTTCATTATGAATGTATCTGAGCATGCAAATGGGAGCCAAGGTCAAAACCAGTGCTGCTGATGAAAATCCAACACTGACAAAAGCCAATAACTGGTCGGATGATGATAGGCAGCCGTACATATCTCCAGTGTGAGCCACTTATTTATAACCTACATTCAAATCCGTGGACTACTAAAAGTAGGCTAGAAATAGAATCACGTGTACGATCTGAACAAAGCCATAAGAATTGATTTTCTGAAGACCTTTATTGCGCACTGTGTGCTACACCACTAACAATCGGAAACCACTGAATGAGACCTTCACCGCTAGGAGCGCAATATGAAGTTTGTCTGGTTCTGGTAAATGGAGAATATAATTGCCCTATTGGTCATTAAGAGTCAAGGATTGAAGATATGATGCCATGACAGGAGCCCCTGTGCAGGCTTGCAAAGAAATTTGATAGTTGTTTGGCGAAAAACGGGTCACAAAAAAACATCGATCTAGGTGGGGCTGGCTCGTTATTTGGTTGATGTGGTAACGCTCTCAGAAAGTCAAGGAGTATTGAATAGAGCCAGAAGAACAGGAATCGTCATGGAGACTTTGGTATTGTAACTGCTTTATTGGGAAACGGCTGTTCAAAATATAACGGGGGCTCTAAATATGTTTTCTTGTTGCCATAGAAACAAGTTTTGCAAACACAGCATTTCTGTGTGCGACTCAAGCTTCATCTTTGCAGTTGTCGTGGAGCAACAAAATGAAGGGGACACAGGTTTTCTGTCTCTCCGGGGGACAAGTTTTTGTAACCAGTCTTTTGTTTTATATCCTATTTTCCATCGTGCCCGTGTATCTAGGCAACTATTGCGGTCGTACACTGTCACAGGAATTCAATGCTGCCGAGAACCGAATGCTGGAACAGGCTGCATTTTGGTCGGGTACAGTTGGTACTCTCGTCGGCTGTGTGAGCCTGTGCCACTCTTGGCAAGCTTGCAAATCAGTCAATTACTTCAAGAACAATTGCAGGTGTGATCTGAACAATGTCACACGAATCGATGTCCCAAATAACTTCGTTGCAGACTACGCGAGCATGTACTTCGATGGTACTGGAGACACACCCGAGTTCTCCGTTGCAGCTTACAGCGATTGCCAGAGTTTACTGGAGGCTGGATACAATGCAAGCGGTATCTACACTATATTCCCCGCAAGATTTGCGGATGGTCTGAGGGTGTACTGCGACATGGAGACCGATGGTGAGGGCTGGCTGGTCTTTCAAAGGCGTCAAGATGGCAGTGTCGAATTCGACCGCGGCTGGGCTGACTACCGCGTGGGCTTTGGGGACTTGGCTGGTGAGTTCTGGCTTGGTAATGACATCTTGCGTGCCTTGAGTGATTTCCCTAAAGCCTGGGATCTGCGAATCGATTTGGAGGCCAGGGATGGCAGCACAGGTTGGGCTGAGTACGGAGTTTTTCAAATCTCTGGACAGGAGTACCGTCTGAGTATTGGTTCATACAACGGTATGAGTACTGCCGTAGACTCGCTGGATGTCCATAATCACCTGCCATTTTCAACAAAGGACATGGACAATGTTGGCTCTTCTTCTGAATGCGACGAAGAGCTGAAACTGAAAGGGGGTTGGTGGTACAGCCTCTGTTCTACTGTAACCCTGAATGGTATGTATTTTAAATTATCGTGGGATCATCAACCATTGGAGGATGATGAATCCTTTACTCCGGGTTCATTTTCTTTCTTGAAAGGATGCAGTATGAAGATTCGTTTGGCTATGTAGGATTACAAATAAAACTCATGAGAATAACCCTTGAAAAAGTGCAGCATGAACATTTTAATTTAAAACTAGTCAGACTATTTTTCTCAAATGAGTCATGGACTTGGATATTAGGAAACATGACAGGGAAGGCAGAATGTGAACCGGAAGGAAGGCGGTGTTTTGCATTCTTGTTTATTTTATGAGGGCGCTCCTTTTTACTTCTATGGTTCTTGTTTTTTTTGCCTCGGAAGTAGGTTGGTCGGTCGGCAACAAAATAAAAATCTGAAGAAAACGACATTACAGTTACACCCGTATAGATGGCTAAATTAAACCATGGAGGTAGAATTAGACTATGCAATATTGGTTTGTTTTATTGCAATGAGATTATCATGAGTTGATATCACTGAATAAAATAATAAAACCATATTTGGCAAGATGAAGTTGACTTAATATATTATATCTGCACGAAGCAGCCCACTAATGTTTTGGCTGTAGTGGCAGCCAATCAGCCATGACTTAACAGTTGATGGGCAACACCCTCGCATCGTCTGGGATTCCATTGGTTGCTATACCCCATGCTTCAAATTATTTTCCATAGCTTTCAAATAACGCAGAGCCTGATCGCCTGAATTTGATATTCAATTTTTTCTCCATTAATTACTTTTTTGGTTCGTGGAAGTTCCACACAGGGTCAGTGGTAATAAATATAATGTTTGTGTATTTTCTCGGGTCGGGAGCCCAAAATAGGGTTGCTCACAAATGAGAACAAAGAATAAAAAAGGGATGCCCTAAAAAACAAAATCATTCTTTTGTCATTAATTAATTATATTGTTTAATAGTGGGGGTTCCAGACATGGTCGGCGGTAATAACTTTTTTTTAAATTTCTCAGGTCGGGAGCCCGAAATAGGGTTGCTCACAAATGAGAACCAAAGAATAAAAAAGGGATGCCTAAATCAAAAATGTATGCATAAATATCCCCGACCTGATGCAAAAATGTGCCAAGTGTGTACTCCAAATTGCATTCAATTCTATTGACCTTTTTGAATACTTTTTAAGCTGCAAACATTCATCTAGAAGAGTCAAACAAGTGTTTGTAATTAATTAACAAGCACACAACAGTGGTGTGCACATAATATTACATATTTTTATCCAACTCTAGGAACAACAATGGTTATGAAAACGTTTACTTGTTGAAATTTCAGCTCAATACATATCACACTATTTGAGAAAACTTCAGAGTGGTGATGCAGAACCATCTGCTGTTCATGCATTGAGTTCATATACTTGATGTTGTTGTGTGACATTTAAATCTGATTTAGCGCACTTAAGAAGTCTAAACTTGATGTGCATGCTGTGTACTGTGTACAATTGTTGTGTGACATTTAAATCTGATTTAGCGCGCTTGAGAAGTCAAAACATGATGTGCATGCTGTGTACTGTGTACAATTGTTGTGTAACATTTAAATCTGATTTAGCGCGCTTGAGAAGTCTAAACTTGATGTGCATGCTGTGTACTGTGTACAATTGTTGTGTGACATTTAAATCTGATTTAGCACGTTTGAGAAGTCTAAACTTGATGTGCATGCTGTGTACTGTGTACAATTGTTGTGTGACATTTAAATCTGATTTAGCGCGTTTGAGAAGTCTAAACTTGATGTGCATGCTGTGTACTGTGTACAATTGTTGTGTGACATTTAAATCTGATTTAGCGCGCTTGAGAAGTCTAAACTTGATGTGCATGCTGTGTACTGTGTACAATTTGTTGTGTAACATTTAAATCTGATTTAGCGCGCTTGAGAAGTCTAAACTTGATGTGCATGCTGTGTACTGTGTACAATTGTTGTGTGACATTTAAATCTGATTTAGCGCGTTTGAGAAGTCTAAACTTGATGTGCATGCTGTGTACTGTGTACAATTGTTGTGTGACATTTAAATCTGATTTAGCGCGTTTGAGAAGTCTAAACTTGATGTGCATGCTGTGTACTGTGTACAATTGTTGTGTGACATTTAAATCTGATTTAGCGCGTTTGAGAAGTCTAAACTTGATGTGCATGCTGTGTACTGTGTACAATTGTTGTGTGACATTTAAATCTGATTTAGCGCGTTTGAGAAGTCTAAACTTGATGTGCATGCTGTGTACTGTGTACAATTGTTGTGTGACATTTAAATCTGATTTGGCACGCTTGAGAAGTCTAAACTTGATGTGCATGCTGTGTACTGTGTACAATTGTTGTGTGACATTTAAATCTGATTTAGCGCGTTTGAGAAGTCTAAACTTGATGTGCATGCTGTGTACTGTGTACCATTGTTGTGTGACATTTAAATCTGATTTAGCGCGTTTGAGAAGTCTAAACTTGATGTGCATGCTGTGTACTGTGTACCATTGTTGTGTGACATTTAAATCTGATTTGGCACGCTTGAGAAGTCTAAACTTGATGTGCATGCTGTGTACTGTGTACAATTGTTGTGTGACATTTAAATCTGATTTGGTGCGCTTGAGAAGTCTAAACTTGAACATGTACATGTGAATTTTGTATGCAGTAAAAGGATATTGAATTGCCGTGATTCGTAATATTAAAAGTTTAATTTTGTAAGATGTACTTGATGTGACATTATATTTATAGCTATAGAAGGTATTTAATAATATCTTTAAAGTTGCTCTACTCATGCTCTTTAACATGTTCAAACTTTTTTCCCTAGCAAATTTTCAATTTGTATGTTATATTTAAACTGAAAAGGCAACTTTTTTCCTTCACTTTGGAAGTTTTCAACTTTCAAAAAAAAAAAGCTTTTATTTTGGGTTTCTTTTGTGACCATAACACACGAAAAGATAGGCCTGAATTAACGTCGGACCACAAATTTGTAAAGTACATATTCCATAATTAAACGTAGGTGAGTTTTTGTTTCATATCTCATTCAAAGTGAATTACTCTTTTTATTGCTTGAAAAATTGTAATTTAGAAACAAAATCTGTTTTGGGGGGGGGGGTGAAACTCAATAATAGCATGGGAAGAGCAACTTTAATCAATGTTTTAGGCAATTGTTCAATATTACATTTTTTATTGTCACAATTAAGATGTGTGAAGATAGTTACAGTGTTTGATAATGAACAATAATATAGACTTTTTGTTGATTTGATTGGAATCCACAAGTGTAAATTAACTCAATGAAATGGAAATATGACCAATTGAAAAATTGTCATTGAAATTGTATAATTGATGTGAATTCTCCTGAAGACGGTCAGAGCATACTGAACGGAACATCGAGTTTATACCTCTGGTTCTTTTCAGATCTATTCTCTTAGTTGAGAAATTATTCGCACATGGTGTTTCCGCAAACCTTTCATTATTTAGTATCTCCACCATGCAAAGCCTCAAATCTTACTGATGTGAATTTGCTTTTAGCTTGTAAACTACGATTGGCGCACTGCATTAGTTCAAATGTAGAAATTGAATGCAACATTTAAAGGTGCTGAGGCTACCCTTTTCCAGAAACAAGACCTAAATAGCCTTGCACATACAAGTTTAACCATAATTACTGAAATTCTGTGATTCTTACAATTTAACATTTAACACCAATGTGAAGTATGTTCTGCTAGGGACTCTTTGCCCAAGTACCCCGTCAATGGTTGCAAAAGGGAGAGTTGGGGGAGACCACTGGGAGAGACATTTGAACGTATGACCGACACATCTGGATGCTCAACCATCTTGCATATGTGCAAATCCAGACTAAAATTAGTTAAAATACATGTATTTTGTGCAAAATTCTGCAAACAAGTATGGCCTTGATGTGTACCGCCCACTGTGGCTACTGAATGTGGGCATAAAGCACCATCTATTGTTTGTGCAGGGAGTTCATATCTCTGGTAACTGTATTTGGGCACTTTTTAAATTTTGTGTGATTTTCATTTGAAAGGAAGTTTCAATGCGAGATTATCTTTACTTTACTGTTGTTTTCTCCTGTACCGAACAGCATAGGCTTATTTTCATTCCAAGGAAAGCTTTGAACAATAACCTGTGTTAATGCTGTGGTGCGTCTGTCAAAAGCACTTTAATGAAATCTTGTTTTGGTGAACATCTGTGATTGTTGTCTAAAGGCACGTAGGATCATTTGCAATTTCCCGTAAAAGTACCTAACAATTAATAATGACAGAAATCTTGCTCAGAGTGAAGATACATGTAGTACTGGTATCAAAACTACCCTGTGAAATTATTCCGCTTAAAATGGCATCGTTTGGAGAAAAAAAAACAACTAATTCTGGAGGTGTTTTCTAAAAAGGGTGCCTGTGGGCACACTTTTTTTATGTACGTTAGCAATGGAATCCAGTTACAACATGTACAAGATCAATTGTGAATACATTTTTTCGTTTGTTTTCTCAATATGCATGTATAGTATTCAACTGAGCTGAAACTTCAATAGGTCAGTCACTATGCACCCTTCTTAAGATTTTGAGCAAACTTGTTGCTTCAAGTAACAAAAAAACACAAAAAGCAAATGATCCTATACCTTGTAGATGTTTCAAATTCATTAAATTTACATAGCATTCGTGTTCTCTTAAAGCTATAGTCCATCATTTGCAGCCATCCGAAAAAGTAACTGCCGTATTATTGTTGAAAAACATACTTGGTTGAAAGATAGTAAGGGGACTAAACTCCCTGTGAAATTATTCTTTCTGGCAAGCTGTCATTTTGAAGTAATCAACGAAAGAAGGCCTTTCCAACGCCGTAGGAAAATTTAAATCAGTAGTTCGTTTTGTTATTCGGCGCAGCGCGCACAAGCATTGGCACAACGCACAGGCGTGCGCGGTTGCTATAATTCGTCAGATCAGAACGCGACATCGTGTATAGCTGCAATTCAAAACGATTCAAAACATGATTCAGCAACTTTTGATTTGAAATTGAGATCCTAGAATGCTGTCTTTCTCAGAATATACAGCTGAAGCTGAGCTGAAACTTCATCAGGTTAGTTGTTCAGTATCCTTCATTAGATTTTGAACACTTTTGTTGCTTCAAACGAACAAAATGCACAAATTACAAATGATGGACTATATCTTTAATTAGTGTGATACATGTTTTTATAATAAAAAAAAGAAGAGGTTAATCTAGTGTGGTGTGCAAACAAGATCTAGGGGTTCAGTTGAGAAAAGAACGCTACAGTGACAAGCATATCATAGAGAATGGTATATGGTCAGATAGTATTGAAAATTGCTTGAAATATTCAAATGAGATAGAAAGTGTTCACTTCAAAAAATTTAGTGTAAAAAATACTTTTTAGCTGTTTTTGGCTCTTGACACCCACAGCAGGCATGCAACGGAGAAATAACAGCCCAAAAAAAGAGGAAATTTCTGCGAAATGCGAAGTGTGAAATGAAAAAATGAGGAAATCAGCTGATCCGAGGAAATGTTGCAAATGCCTGCCTCCGAAAAAAGAATTATTACTTTCGGTTGCTTATGTATAACAAAGCCGCCCTGCAATTAAACAGGTTCCTTTTCCCTATAGTAACCATTCTGATAGAGGCGGGAACCAGTCCACCCTGCAATATCCTTAAGGATTGTTGGGCCGTATATGAATCAAAATGTGTAACGTTATTATCCCATAACTACATCTGTGCCAATTTTTATTTCATTTGCTTTGTCATTCATTCATTCAAAAGTGAATAATTTATTTATTGCTAGAAAACTAGCGATTGAAAAACAAACTACATATTTCAGGTATTAACTTGAAAATATCACAAACTGTACATCTATAATCAAGAATGGAGACCAGTAAAGAGTGGAGAAAATAAATTATAGAACGAGAATTGGCTTATTGTTTACTTCTGTTGTGAATTGAGAGCAAAGTTGAAATCAAGTCATCAAAAGTCCATCACAAGGCATTAAAAATCTTATCACAAGTTATTACAAGTCAATCACAAGTCCATAACAAGTCCATCACAAGTCCATCACAGGTCCATCACAAGTCAATCACAAGTCAATCACAAGTCCATCACAAGTCCATCATAAGTCCTCACAAATCAATCACAATGTTGATATCAACACGGGTAGGAGAGGCAATTGTTTGAAAAGGCCTACAAGTACCAGTCACTGATCAACAAGTTTGGACGATGCGAAATAAGGTTTATACAATGGTGCGTTCCTAGTCTTCAAACTCTTGTGACTTGGGTTCAATTCTCACCAAGTTTTCATTTCAGGTTTCAGACCATTCCCAATTTTATGGGTTCCCTTATATCAGCGTGATTGTCTTAGTCTTTGGTCTTTTTTACAACCCTGTAAATAACGGGATGCTAATCTCATGGAGCTGCACAGAATTTAGCTTAGAACAGGAGAGATTTGCTAAGCAGAAATAGGTCACCAGCCAAAATCGCACATCATGTATCTTGCTGTTGACTGGTACTCTGCCATTTTTTTGCTAAGCACAAACATTTGCTAAGCGGTAGTTTCTGTTGAGCATGAACCATGAAATATTTTTCCACTAAACACATGTAATGAACTCACCTCCAGGATAGAGCAATGGAGCCATGTTGACATAGGCAACACCGTGGAAGAAAATAGGGTTCTCCTCCTCCTGGGAATAGACAAATCATTCAATTTACACTAAAATGATTTTTGTTTGATTAAGCAAAAAAGATTTAAATTTCAGATGTCATTACTGCTGTTTACAGTTACTCTATAAACGTCAACATTGTCTCCTTGAAACCTGAACAAATCGTGGATCGTGGAAATATCTTTCATTTGATATATATTTTGTCTCAAGCGGTTACGTCAATTAACAGTATGAAAAAGACGGAAAAAGATTTTCATTTTTTTCCCTGGCAAAAGGACGTTAGGGTGTAATACAAAATATGTTCCAAGTGCGCTAACGTCCCACTGAAGGGGGTACGTAAAGCCAAGTTTATTCCCGGCAAAATGACATTATGATTTAACATGCCGCTTAAGCGCACGTTTAAAGTAGGGGCAGTTCCTGGTAAAAGGTCGTTAGCTTGAAATAAAAATGCAACATATTATTTCAATTATTGACGCATTTCATGAGTCAAAATTTTAGCCTTATGTGATTTTTAATTTAGAAATGGGAGCACAAAACCTTTCAACTTGTAATCTCCAAAAGTGGTTTTTATTTTTTGCGAGCCTGGGCTGCTAACGTCCTTTTCCTTGGCACACGACAAAAATTTGGTTGATATCGTCTTTGTACCTCACTGACAGACTCACGTTCACTTGTGACTTACACTGGTCATGTACATATTATAAAAACTACACAACATTCAGTCTGGCACTGCTCATTTCAAGTACTTTCTTGTACATGTATGCGCAATAAGTGAAGTCTCCATGCGAACGGCGAAAGTGGATTTTTTTTAATTTCCATCACGATACAACGCATCCTACTAACTTTTTAGCCATTTTGAATCAATTGGATATAATTTTGTGCACTCTCTGGGACGAGCTTTAATGGGCTTGCCGAGAATTTTGCAGCCAACTTTTGCGAGAGTGATAAAATTCAGCATTACCTTTCCCTTGGCCTTGGCAGCGGTCGGCATCGGCATCCGCATGAGCTCCACAGGCCACAGACGAGTCTGAGCTATCTTGGTTTGCAGACTGTCAAAAATGAACAAATGAAAAATGATAGGGTAAAACAAGACCTTACAATTTTCGGTAAAAAATGTAATTTAGGACCCGATAGCAACATAAGAGAATGAAAAGACTGTGCTGTGACATGCATGTCTCTAAATGCTAAAACAGGTAAGAAAGTCGCATTTTCTTCCAAATTACTCATCAAAATTATTTTTGCTTCGGGCTGCAAACATTTTTTTTTGGAATTGACAGTCATTTGCAAAATTCATTTTTGAATGGAACTAGTACAAAATAGAGGTGTCTTAAACTACATTTTTATCAAATCTTGTCAAATTTAGAAGAATACAAGTACATGTATGTAAGCTTTTCACTGTTTGTCAGACAAGAATGACAACAGTTGACTGACTACAGACTGCTGAATGATGTAACTTTGTAAACAAAAAAAAGTCCCATGATTGTTGCACAAAACAAATAAGCAGCCAAAACTCACAAGACATTAACAATCTAAATGTTGACAAACTATGTCCTAAAAAATACATTTTGCCTCGAGTCCATGTTGCAAGAAAAGGCTTTTTTTCTTGGCAGCTTTCCAAGGTCTATAGGATTCCAAACATTACTAAATATCAGATTTGAGGCTTTGCAAGTTGGAGTATCGGTATTGTTTCGGTTTGAAATAACACCATGTGGTAATAACTACTGCTTAAAAGACATTTAGTTCTGAAAAGAACTTGTCCTGCTTATTATCAACTTTTGCTAAGTAGTTTTTGTTCTGATAAGAACAGTCCTGCTGTAAGTTCTAAAAGAACTTGTCTTTGGTCTCAACGTTTCGACAATCCTGCTCTAGTCATCGTCAGGAGACTATTCTTATCAGAACAAAAACTACTTAGCGAAAGTTGATAATAAGCAGGACAAGTTCTTTTCAGAACTAAATAAAGCAGTAGTTATTACCACATGGTGTTACCGCAAACCAAAACGATTACGAAATATCATTTCGGATAATTACACATCTGTGACAATGTCACATTCTCCTTTTATTTCATACACACAATGTATTCCGAGGCAAAACAAACAAGTTTGGTTAACATTTTTTCTTCATTCAAGAGTTTTTGCAAAAGATCGAATGTAATGAATATTACCTTTGCACAGCGGATGGTTCCATGTAGCAACGGCGCTCACAGTTCCAGATGACGCGATTCTTGTCTGTCTCGACTTCAACTCGGAAATCACGATCCTGAGGGAAAAGTACCAATAATATACAAATCAGCAGTTTATTATACAACATTGGATTAAATAAAAAATAAGGTTGAACAAAGAAATTGACTGGAGCGGGCTTTGAACCTACGACCTCCGGATTACTGTTCCGGTGCTCTACCAACTGAGCTATCCAGCCCTACGTTGGTGGTTCCCCATTTTGTCTCAGTCTTTGTTCAAGGGGCGCTAGTCAGAAGCCATAAACCCGTCTATGCCATGTAGCCAGGGATCACGCCCAAAGTCACGATGCAAGTAACATTAGAAATGCTGCAAACCCGGGAAAAAGCAAACGGGGATCACTCGGAGAGGATACGGCTTTTTATTACAAATTTTCAAAGAAACCACATCGAAAAAAAATTATACAAAATAATAAAACTTGAGATTTGAAGGTTTGCATGGTGGAAAGATACTAAAAGACAAGATAAGTTTGCGGTAGCACCCCTCCGGCTTAGTAGAGTCTCTCCGGTTCTTTTCAGAACCACACATACTCAAAAAGGAGATGTATTCACATGGTGCTATCACAAACTTTTCAGATCTGAATTTTGCATTGTTGTCGATTACCTCTTTGCCAGCAAGTTCTCCATCTTCTACATCATAGCTCACAGCTTGAACAAATCTACAACAATGACATTTGGAAGAAAAAAAATTCAGCACCTATCTAACTGCCTAAAGTCTGGCTCATACTTCACGCCAATGCAAGTACAAAAGAGAATTCAATATTTAGAGCAATATGTAAACCCAGCAGGTCATTTTCAAGTAACGGGTTGAAGTTTTGAAGTAACTGTGTCACACAAGCATGACGGCACATGCCTGTTGCCCCAAGCTTCAACCACACGAGAGAATTGTGCAGGGATTTAAAGCATTATCCAATACTCCACAGAAGATTACCTCAAAGAAATAAGAAGTGTGGGTGCTAACTCTATGGGAAAGTGGTTTTGCAAAACTTCGAAGGGTTGTGAATTGCAGAGGACTAGGTGGGAAAATCATAGCTGTGATTGGTCGATACATCATGGGGTGGGACTTAAAGGGAATATACAACATTTGCAAACATCGAAAAATAAAACTACCTAGTTTTTACGAAATACCTTACTAGGATGTTGGTAAATGACAGTCTAAAGCATCTTGTAAAATTATGGCACCTGGTGTGAAGTCATTTTCAAGAAAATGGTATATTTGTAAAAATTTCCAACGGTGGTCGGCCGACCACCGTTGGAAAAACCTAACTATTTTTCAACTACTGCTCCAAATTAACCATTTTTCTTTCAGTCCAAATTTTGTTTGCTATTGGTTACATGTTCATGAACGGGTGCAGGCCGGCTAGACTGGTTCCATTACCTTACAAGTTTCCGGCATCTGTAAATTGATCCATTTTATATTTAGTGGAGTCAGGGAACCAGACTACTTGAACATTTTTGTTTTTCTTGGTTTTTCCAGCATTTTCGAACACAAACCCTCAAACATGTCAGTCTAACAATATTTGATCTATTATACTAACCCCTCAAATAGTTCATTTCTGAAAATTACAGCAAAAGCCAATGATGTATATTCCCTTTAATGAATGTGACTTTTGTTAGCAGGTCCAGCGGACTTACTTATCAGGAATGAAGATAGCGCCCCCTTGAGCCCCAGCAGGGGCAGGCCATTTCTTCTGCTTGGACGGCGGCTCTTTGTCGTTGGCTGCTTTCAGGGCGCCGTTTGAAATCACGACCGTTGACTCTCTCTGTCAATCAGACAGGGAGAATGTGAATAGAGGAGTGGATTATTAATTGTCAACAGTTGATCGAAAACAATTCTGGATAGGCTTGGTTTTTTTTAGACAAATGCACAGGATTTGAGGATTTTGGGTTGCATGTACAGGAGACCCTACATTTTTGCAACACTCTAATACAACAGACACAAGATCTGAATTTGGTGGGTAATATAATTAAGTAAGCTTTAATATTACAGTAAGCTTTAAGAACAATGCAAATAAATACTATGTGGGCCCTATGACTTTTAATTTTTGTGAATCGCTGACAAATTGTTTCACTTTTTCAGTAGAAGTATTTCAATTAACTTCATCGCAAACTTTTATACTGCTAAAACATCATAAGTAATGTCATAGGTGCTGTATGCTCAGTGCGTTCCGATAGTTTGTGAGGACAAAACTTTAAAAACTTACAGGTACAAATGTCATATCACTCATTTTCAAATAAATCATACAGGGAAAACTGACTAGGTCATTCACAATATAATTTTTTTTCAAAGTTGAAGAAAGAACTTGATCAATCGAGACCTTAGCTTGCCAGAATGCTAGGGGTGGCTGGCTTAATTGAATCCAACATATCAATCACTATGTTATAGACTTTTATGCCCCCCCCCCCCTCACGTCATTGCACAAACTTTAATTTAAAAGCTAATAACATTTTTTGTCACCCAATGCAAACTTACATCAAAACTTACAAAACAGTTATGCACAATTTATTGACAACTCCTATGGCTGGGGAACAGGGTAAACGGAGGTTGGTATAATCTGAAATTTGGATATGGATTGATCAATTGCTCATTACCTCATTTGAGAGCGGTACAGGCAGCGTGATGTTGTACATGTACTGAGTACCGCTCGGGTTCCATGTCTCTGGTACAGAGTAGGCCGCTTCCACCGTTATGGTCAGCAGGTTGCTTTCCTTCAGTTGGTCCTCGGAAAGTAAAGCCTCGGTGACCGAAACCACGACGTCGATCTCTGCCTGCGGGTAGGAAGAGTGAATCGATTACCTATTTTACCTCAAAGCTGGAAACGTAACTACTGTAGAATTCAAAAGCTAATACAGATTTCCATGAGATTTCTATGTAGCAGCCAATAGGTCTCTATCAAATGATATCACATCCTACAGATTGTCACGTGCATCGGTTCTTTTGAGGAAATAAAAGTGAAAACTAAATACAGTGGAACGTCGCTATAACGAACATCGTGGGATCCACAGAAATTTTTCGTAATAGCTATCGTTCAGTATAGCGATTTTCACACATTAGTGGCGCCCTCTTTTGATCATTGTTATTGTGTAGTTGCATTTACAAACCACGTGCAGAGTCGCCAAACTTGTCCATTCATATTTTCAATTCCGTAGCAGAACTTCACCATGTATGTCCTGGTAGTTACTAGAAGATGACTTCGAACACGTGCGACTATTGAATCATGTAATTACACAGTTTTTAATAATAGCCATTTGTAGCTCCTCTGTTGACAATTCCAACAACAATATTCGGTATGTTTTGTACACAAAAATTGGGAACCAAGGCTGATGTTCGGTATAGCCGAATGCTCGGTATAGCGATGTTCAGTATAGCAACGTTCCACTGTACATATCTCCACAGTTCTATAAAATGTGTTCCTACCTTGGGACTATCAGCCGGAATGCTCTCCAGTGGTGAGCCAGGCAATGAATGGATAATGAGTGTACTCTTATACTTGGTCTCTCCTTGAACCAACGGCAGTAGATCCACAGTGCACTGGCCTAGGAGGACTGTCTTCTCTTCTTTCTGCTTCTTCTCCTTGGGGAGAACTTCAACGACCGTCACTGTTGAAAATATAAGAAGGAAAAAAAGGCTTGAGGAACGAATTCAGTCTCCTGCATTGTATAATTGAGCTTTAAATGCCATATATTATAGGTCTTGACTAGATACATCATCTGACCACTTGGTGTTGTTTTTTCAATTGAGGCAAAAAAAATTGTCCCTTTCCCCACAAATTTGATTTCTGTACTACAATATTTCCTACGTTTTCTGCCTGTGTTTTTGGAGTCCCCTCCCCAGTTTTCATTGTTTTTAAATTCCATGCACTTTTAAAATGGTATTGTCATTCTGGGAATGTCTAACAAAGCTTGAAATGTTTTATTTTAGGAACACACTCTGTAATCGTGGGAATAGACTGTGACCTTTTTTATACCTGCTATTTCAGACCAGCTTTCTAGAGTTGTGCAAAACTATATTTTTCAGAAGATTTGAATTCAATTTGAGTACCACAGAAGTGAATGCTGCATGCAGTACATGAAACGGGAAATTAAAGTTCGCCACTGTAAAACTAAAAAATAGTTGAGTCAGTTAAATCACTCTTAATTTCTTTTTTTTAACAGAGCGTGATTCTGGCACACTGATCTGGGAATAGCCTGGGAAAAGGCTTTAAAAAAAAAAGTATTCCAAAAAACTAAAAAAAACAAAAGGAATGTTCAAAGTTTTTAAATAATATCTGCAATATTGACTCAAAACAGTCAGCCCAAAAATCAATTTTGGAGATTTGTTACAAACCAAAATCATGAAGTAACTTCCAACAAAATTAAATTCCAGATCCTACAGACATCAGCATTACCTAGAACTGGTTTGAAGGCAATCTCGTCCAGGACCACAGGGTCATCAAAGCTGCAGTCAAACTTGGCGTTGAAGTTGTACTCAGCGGCGATCTCGTTGGTTGAGTCCACCTTGGCCGACTCGCCCAGCGTGTTGCTGCCATATTCCACTTTGACCAAGGAGCTCAGCCCGTCGCCTTTGCTGCCTCTCTGTAATGAAAACACACACAAAAATATTTGAATAAAGGCACACAACAGGTTGTCCATTACGACTGAGGTTTTTTTTTCAACAAACCAAGATCAGAATAACCCCGAGTACCTGAGCTCAAGTCATCAATAATGTAATCCATGACAGTGTTGTATTCCAGTTCAGTTACAAGTCCTTTCACAAGTCCAGTAACAGGAAACGGAAGAATTATGACCAAGGAATGCTTTTGTAACAGTTCATTTGAATAGCTAGTGACTTGACTTGCAACTGAAGGACTTGTGATGGACTTATGATGGACTTGTGATGGACTTGTGATGGACTTGTGATGGACTTGTGATGGACTTGTGATGGACTTGTGATGGACTTGTGATGGACTTGTGATGGACTTGTGATGGACTTGTGATGGACTTGTGATGGACTTGTGATGGACTTGTGATGGACTTGTGATGACTTGTGATGGACTTGCAGGGAATTGTGGGGACCAGACTACAACATCCATGCACAGGCAGCCTTTAGTCAGTTAAAGCGAGTCAAGACTTAAGCGAGACTCTAATGCATTGCTGGCATATGCCTGGCCTTCATGCAAAGAAAACAGGGACCATAATGGTACAGTGTGGGATACATATAATAATAATTTTGGGGCTAATCGTCCTTACTAATACTCGCAGCTGGGAAGCTGAATTGCAAAGCACGCGGCTACAACGTGGCAGAGCCGTAGGCATGTAAAGCCGCCTTAGGCAGCCGCCATAGCACCCATGTCTGATCACGGAGCACAGCCACAGATCGAAAGTGTGAGACACAAGTAGAGATTGATAATTAAGATTGAGGTACTAAGGTTTTATACTTATGATCTGGATGAAAAGTGAAATTTACCACTTTGACGACGGCTCAGTCGTGAATACCAGGTGGACACCATTATAAAAATGGTGTCCATGCACGATATTCACAGTTACTCGGGCTAAGACTTCCTCAATTATTGTTGGGACAGTATGACCCAACAATACTTGTACTCTTTACACTTACAAGGTGTCTGGCTCGTAGCACCGTGATATTCACTGGCTCAGGAGCTCTTTGTCTCTGTAGCTCCTCTTCTGCCATGACGAATGACGATCAAAACCCTGAGAAAAGACAATTTTGGATAGACCTTTAAAGTTTTATTTGGGGGGGGGGGGGGGAACAACTACATCATCATACAATGATACAGGCTCATGTTGTTTTACCCAATAACTGTTTCTCAAATAATGGATGTCATCCATATTCAGTGCCATACAATGATGCCTGCTAGGCCTACTAAATTTCCTGAAAAGTTGTGTTTCCCGAATTAGAAATCTAGAATAATCAACGGGATCACATCATGACCCATCAATATGCCTAGCTTACGGAGAATTAGAATTGAAATAAGACTGCTTCAGGTTGCTGAAGTCATTTTTGAATGATGAAATCGCTTAAAGGAAAAAGAGGGGCCCGTAACTGCACAATCGATCGCCAATCAAACTTTCAAAGATTAAGAACGGACAATTCACACACACACAAAACTTACATTTTTTGAGCAATTAACAAATTGCTACTTTTCTGAAAACAAATCTAACTAGGTTTATTTATCAAATTCAGAGCCTCCCATTTGAAAAGTGGTGACTGTTTGTAAAAGAGAAGTGTCTGACATCCCATTAAGTTGGGTGAAATTACATCAAGGAGAATTGCTAGGCCTAGACCCGTAAACATGGCGTCAATAACAACGCCTCGCTCCAGCCTCGCGTAAAAACATCTCGAAATTGTCAAGTGGCACGTCATTTTGCCAGTATTATATTCTGTAAATTCACGAGGGGGGGGGGGGGGGAAACGCCCTCAACACAACAACAAACGTACGAGCAGAACTTTTGATTGTCTGAGGTCACACACGGTACATAGGTACTCTGAGTCACACATTTGCGAAATGGTAGGAGCCGTCCGGCTACTTGTCCAATCTCATGTGTCGAGTGTTTCTACGCAACTCTGGAGCATGGTGATGTTATTGATGCCACGTTTACGGGTCTATGCTAGGCCTAACGTAAAATTATGAAATCTTGGGGCGACTGTGTTAGAAACTTGAATGGGGGCGAAGTGACAATGACAAGTTACGTGAATCAATCTTGTGTGTCAAGTGTTTTTACTCAACTCTGGAGCGTGGCGTTGTTATTGAAGCCACATTTACGGGTCTATGCTAGGACTTATGTAAAATTATGACATCTGGGGCGACTGTGTTAGAAACTTGAATAGGGGCGAAGTGATAAGTTACGCGAATCGGTCAAATCATATCCTCGCTGTACAGGTTTTCGAGGGTGTAAGGATTTATTTCGAGAAAAACACCGATTATAGCCTTCGGTTTCCAATTTTTTTGGGCTAACGGTGGAACACGAACCGCACACATAACAAATCAACTGGTTGTGTGGTACGAATCTGCGCGTCTGCATCGCTAGTACAGTCATTTTCCTAGTTCTGGATTGTTCTTAGTTTCGGATAGCTTCAAATAAAACCCTACCTCTTTTGAATTGGTCTACAAACTGTTTTTATTGACAAAGTGCATTTTGAAAAGGAAAACGTATGCTTCTTGATACACAAAGATTTTTTCGATAAAATCTCTAGAAAAGGAATTTTGTCCAGATTTCCAACTCGCACTCTGACATGTTTGGACGGTTGGTAGAAAAATCATGGGAGCCGGGAATTGACGATAAATTTTCTCCTCGGTATATCACTTGAAGTTGAACCGTGTGATTTCAAATATTGTGTTCGTACTCTACAGTAGTATAAACTCTTGCATCGAATGTTTGTTAAATCAAAATAAGTTGTAGAGTCTCTAATATTTGAAAACTCGCCTACGAATGACCGTATGTTTTTGCCTAGTTCCGGATCGCACGTGCACGTACCGGTAGGACCCAACTACAAGCGCGTTAAATAATTTTATTTGACGTATTTTGTGATGGGTCAAAGGTTTTTGGTTCGTGCGTGTTTGTGCCATCGCGCTGCAGTCAAAAGACCATCGGCTTATGCAATTTTTGATGGTCTCTACGGAGACCACTAAAAATTGCATAAGCCGACGGTATTTCACGTCTCTCATTTACGTTAATTCTCTTTTAAAATTTGCTTGAATTCTCTTGAATGAACTGTTTTCCGAGAAATTAAACAATACTTTATCAGAAAATGTGCTTAATTCGGGGTGGTTCTGGCTGAAAAATTAAAATTCACGCGTGATTTTGTTTTTCGCGCGGAGCGGTTTTTTTCTTTTTGATCGATTCGGAACTGATTAAACTGATCCAGAACTAGGAAAAGTGGCAACGGTACTTTTGACATCGCAAAGTCAAAATTTAAAGAGCTTAAATTTAGAAAATGATTTTGTTGTGTCTCCATCACTCAAGCCTCAAGGTCAACTTTTTAACCAATTCACTTTAATTCGTAGATCAGTTTGTCAGTTGAGCCGAAAGCAGCCTGAATGATGTTTGCCTCGAAAACAGGTAGGCCGTAGGGGCCTACACGATACAACAACACTCATGGAAACGTTACTTCAGACTTACAAAAATATTTCAGCACAGAATGATGACAAAACAGCGACTATTTCTTCCAAAAACTTAAAGGATTTTCAAGACACGAAACACGATGACATGGACATGATGGATGAAAGCATGGATGAGATGCTGCCGGCTGCACTGCTGCGGCTTCAAGTTTCCATAGAAATGATCGCATAACCAATTTGGCCCAATTGGTGGCGCCCTTGTACTTGTCCACTATTTTTCAACCCGGTACATGACACATGTGCTTGCAGTACAGATGTGCATTTGTTTCTGGTATTAATTAGAGTCCATTTTTCAACAGTTTTTGAAATTTGTAGTAAATACATACAGCACAGCAATGAGAGCAATAGTTCAAAGAGTAACAAAGGCAAGTGTTACAGGTAAGTACTTGTTTATTTGATTTTTATCACAAACGATTATAAGGGGTGGCGTTGAAATGATGATTTGAGTTTTGACGTTTACCCCTGTTTTTTAGGCCCCTATACTTTTGTACTTGTAATTATGTTTTTTTTATGATGCTCTCTTTTATTTTTTCAGTGTGATGCTAAAAAGTCAGGGGAAAGAATGTTGCAACCTGACGCTACATCAGCGGTTGTGTACAAAGTCTATGGAGAGTCAAGAAAATTTGTATTTCCTACCAAAATTGGAAATATTTCTCAGTCCCAGATTTATGTCTTTTCATCATTTTTGCAATGACTGACCTTCATTGAGATGATATATGAAGAAAAAAGCAGCGTCAGGTTGCAACATTCTTTCCAAGTCAGGAGAGCTAGACCTATTCGATAATGAGTTGGATCACATTTTAGCAACCAAAGGGGCAAACCCGGCATGGACTTATACTTGGCCTCTTCTTAGGGAACTGTCAGCATCATGGTCATGATGGTCAAGCGGGAGAATTGTCTTGTTTTGTCATTGTATTGATGTTTTTATTATCTCATTGTAAAATTGTAGGCTCTCTGAGTCTTATGCTGTATCATATGGATAAATGAAAAGAAATCCATCCTAGCTTGAACTTGGATAACCCCGATAATTAGAGATGGGGTTTCCCAAGTTGGTTAGATTTAACTTGGGAAACCCCAACCATTGCCAATTGTAATGCTCATTGGAAATTCCACAATTAGAGCTAAAGTAGAATGTATATTTTAAATGAGGCTGAAAACATTTTAGAATGTTTCAAATTACCACCCCTGCCCCCGCAGTCAGACCAGCTTAGTGTCCTCTTTATTATACCTCACTGGCAGTTTACTGACTGACTGTCACATGTGAGAATGGCAGTGCTGTCCCATAGGAATATCCCATTAACAGCAATGGATAGGCTAAAATCCAGCCCATTAAATTGTGTATGTATTTGTATCATGCATGAACAGACTACCAGTGAATAGCAATTTAATCAATTGATTAGATTTGTGGGAGCTTTGGTTTGTTTGTGGTATTTTCTGTATTTTCTTTATTTTGTATTTTGTGTTTGTTTACTTTGTTCTAATTTCATCTCATCTGTCTTCAACTAGGACAAGGTACTCCAATTTTTTTTTTACATGCTGTATTTCATTTTTGCTTGCAGAGGGTGACATTAGACCCCCAAAATGCTTGACAAAGTAAAATACCAATATTATTTTTTTTCAGCTTAGTGCCAAGTTCCTTCACTTTCTTAGAAAATTTGGACTAAGCACATACCAGGACGTTTGTGTTCTACAAATGTTAATAAAATGTCAGCAAATGCCTGATGTCTGTCTGTAATTTCACCTGTAATTTGTGGGTTTTTTTGGCAGTTGGCGATGAGTTGATAAGCTCCATTGGGAAAGGATTATGTGTCCTGGTCGGTATTTCCCGAGATGACACGCCGAAAGACAGGGAATACATGTGAGTCCTTCATTCCATGAGTCCTGGAGGTTTTCCTACTCCTTGGCTTTGGCTTTTGAACTGTCTTCTAAAATCAAAGTAAAAGTCTTTAAAATCTCTCAAAACAAGTGAAAATACTTAACTTTATTATAGAACTTGATGTTCCTGAAGTGAAACACTGAGGTGAATCAAGGTTTTGAAAATCTATTCTTCCTCCTCCCACCCTTTCCCCCCTCCCCCTCCCCTTCCCCCTCCCTCCCCTTCCCCTCCCTCCCCTTCCCCTTCCCCTCCCTCCCCTTCCCCTTCCCCCTCCCTCCCCCTCCCCTTCCCCCTCCCCTTCCCTCCCCACCCCTTCCCTCCCCTCCCCTTCCCTCCCCACCCCTTCCCTCCCCCACCCTGGTTCCATATGTGTGGCCCAAAATAATCAGCAATACAGCATAGCTTTTTTGAAGGTTGGGTAACACTTTCAACAATTAGACAGTACATTTTTATAATTCTTAAGTGCAGCACAATCGAATGGAAAATAAAATTTGTACAAAAATGTGGGAAAAACTGTACTCGCCTGTCAGTCAGCAAAATTCTTCAAAAGGTCCACATTTATTATCTTCACACTTATTAGAGGTCTCCACTTTAATAACTATCATTTATGCATCAATGTGCTGTCATGTGTTTGTGTCTTGGTTACTAGAGCCAGGAAGCTTCTGAGTCTCCGAGTGTTTGAGGACGACAAAGACAAGAAATGGGACAAGAGCGTGATGGACAAGCAACTGGAAATGCTGTGTGTTAGTCAAGTGAGTTAATAAAGTCCATCATTTTATAGTTTGTACGTAAAAGGATTCCTATCCTAGCCACAATACAAAATATGCATTAGGCACCTTAACCGATGTTTTAGTCGAGAGACTTGGGATGGATCGCAAGTAATCACAAGTCAATCACAAGTCTATCACAAGGCAATCTCGAGTACGTGCATGTACTTCACGCCAAAAAAGCTAGGGGAGAGATTTGTCAGGATTTTTACAGAATCCTTTTTGAAGTCTGCGCAGTTCCCGAGCTTTTACCGTAAACATTTTTCCCAATAAAAGATCATTAAGATTAGGGTATTTTAAGAGGTGCTTTTAGGAAACTACAAACATAAACCCTAAGTTGCTCTGACCCCCTTGGTTACCCTAGAACCCTCTGCCAAATATTTTGTGGAATTTTCATTTCCCCAAATCTCGCCCCTGAAAAGCGCTGAGTGCCGTGGCCCGTCCTCATTATGTGAAAGTGTTTTATTCTTAGAACAATTTGGACCCAATTGTGAGATCTTTTGGCTTTCCTCACAATGTTTTTGATTCCACTTAACCTACTATTCAACCGGTGTGTGGCTCCTACAACTAGAAACAAGTGTGGGGCATATACTGTGTGTCCTGTGCACCGGAAGTCACACAATGCCAACTTCTGTTCCTGCAAAGAGACCAAACACATCTTTACATGCAAGTTTTTATAACCCACCATCCAAAATCAAAAGTAGTAAAATTCCTTTTCTCATTTTGTTGCAGTTTACATTGTACTCGATCCTGAAGGGCAACAAGCCTGATTTCCACTCGGCTATGGCCGGAGATCAATCCCAGCAATTCTACGAAGACTTCCTGGACATCTTACGCAAAGATTACAAGCCGGAACTCATCAAAGGTGCAGTAGATGTCTTCTGAACTATGTCTTTAGCCACGTTCCCATTGGACTTTTTTTCGCACAGCCATACAGAAACTTACCGCGACATTCCTTTGCTTAAGTCTACCTTGCGTTCCCACTCAGACTTTTTTTTATCACCGACGGAACGTTGATTGAATTTGAGTGACTGCCAGATGCCCCTTATAACTTACCTAGGCTGTGCGGTAATCTGCCATGACCACTTTAGGCCTGGTAGTTTTACATCACGGTCGCGGTAAGTTGACAGGGAGGTTGGTTTGTCGTCTTTCCCCATTGGACTTAATTTTGTCATTCTATAGGAAAGTCACAGTAAGTTAACCAAAAAAAGTCCAATGGGAATACGGCTTTTCACCCAAGGCAGGTACATTGGCAAGCTATATTGCAGACCAAAGCCGTGTCTGAAATGGACCTCCAGAGCTTTGGCTACGTCTATTGTCAGCATGTTCCCATGCAGTTGCAATACCAATGAGAACCTTGACAATAGTGTTAGACAAAAGATTTGGATGCGGGCTACTTGATTGGTTGGCTTGCAGGTTGGCATGTGACGCTAACAACTTTTTTAATCGTTTGGTTAGCTGCTCATGGCTTTGTGCTCACATGTCATGGGTCATGCGAGCATGGTGGCTTGTGCGTAAAGCGCTCGCCTCTCACCAAGGTGACCACGGTTTGAATCCTGGCCGTGGATCCTGGCCTGGCTGCGGATCACATGTGTGTAGAGTTGTGCGTTTGTTCTCTCCTGCGCCACGAGGGTTTTTCTCCGGGCCCCCCGGTTTTCCTCCCTCCGGCAAAATCAAACACTTTCGATCTCAGGCTGTGCTCCGTGGTCATATAAGGGTCGATGTGGCCGGCAGCCATAGGCGCCTTTACATGCCAACGGCCGGACCACGTTGTAGCCGCTTCCTTCGCAATTCAGCATCCCAGCTGCGAGTAAGGATGATTAGCCTCCCAAATTATTATTATTATGACAACCTCTCTCCACCAGCCTAGAAACTCTCTGTGCTGACAGTCATTCACTGATTGACTGACTGCGAACAGCAAAAAATACTGAACCAAGCATTTGAACGTATTTTCAAAAGAATGAATTCTATTTGATAAATATGACATTAAAAAGAACAATTTGTACAACATTTTTGGACCTGTGATTTTATTTCATAGATGGCAAGTTTGGTGCCTACATGCAAGTCCACATTCAAAACGACGGCCCAGTCACAATCATGCTGGAATCACCCTGTGAATCGACCAGAGGCGTGAAGGCCCCGCTCACACCCATACCAAGGACTGCCAGACAGGTATGATATATTACTTAAACAACTACCCTCCCAGTTAGTTCAAAATCCACAAGGAAGTTTTGGGAGGATTTAGCAGAATATAGGATTGTAGAACTTGGCCTTTAACCCCAACCTTCCCAAATCCTCCAAAAGCGTTACAATTTCAGGACAAAATCCACCTCAAGGCTCTATATGTATAAATTATTTACAATCAGGCATGCGACGTTTCCTCGGATGAATTGTTTTTCACTTCACACAACATTAAACATTTTTAAAATACGGTACAACATCTTTTAAAGCTTGGAATTTTCCTCTTTTTTGTTACTTTCTCGTTGCATGTCTGTAAAATGATTAAAAAGTAGGAATTTAAGCTTTAAAATCAATTAAGTTTGACATCTTGATATGTAAATATTAAATGGGTGTTTTTTATTTTGCAAGATTTGTAAAAAGGCCTTTAATGAAAAAATGCCCGTCACAACTTGTGTCTCATTTTGTTGGTTGGGTAACTTTACCATCGATTCCCTTGTCCTTTTTTTTTTCAGTCCGGCTCTGCAACACCAATCGCCAGGGTTAAAGGTCAGCAGCAGGACAAGGTGAAGGACAAAGCCTGCCGTTATGTCACCACTCTCACCACAGAGTTCGAAGGTCAAGGTGGTGTCCATCAAGAATTCAAGAACACGCTCACCAAGTACAGAGACAGCCAGTGAGTAAAATCACCAACAATGTTATCCACAACTTTCCTGGAGTGTTGCTTGGAAATTTCCTGAGTCCTCCAAAATCCACCAGATATGCCCAGGAACTCAATTGCCTATTCCTTGTACTTTAGCAGTCAAGGAGCTGGGAACTTTCCATTCAAAGAAAAAAGACAACTTATACTTATTATGGAGTTCGAAACATTTCTTTATTCGATAATCAGCTGTTCAACGTCACTATATAATTTTTGTCTTGAAATGTATTCAAGAAACGATGTAAAACTCAAAACAGGGGCTAAATCAACCCTTACGAAATGAATGGATTCGTCCATAAAAATGTCAGCATCGTGTTGACTGTTTTTGAAGAAAGTTACGATCGAAACTTGAATGTTGACGTTACTACTCGTTAGTATTATTAGTAATCACAACAATTTGATACTTAGGACAAAACAAATCAGCGTCTGTTGCCACAAAGCAGAATTGTAGCGCTCCAGTCAGACGACAAATGGTGGGTTGCATACTCTTGGCCATGCACCAAGGCCGGGAACTGGACGGGCCAGCCGGCAGCTATTCCCGTTTTTTATTTCTCATGTTTGTAAGAGTATCGACTGTAAATGATTTGATATAACTTTTGTGGCCCTTTTTATAGTTATCGTAGTGTAAATGGAACTGGTTCAGAGCATTTTGACTAGAATTTGGAGGCCTTTATACAAAACTGAAACCGCTGCGGTCGGTGCGGCATATACGCCGGTGCGGCTTATACGCCGACTTCAAATCTTAATTTGCAAATGTTTGCGTGCTGCGGCTTTTACTCCGCGCGGCTTATATTCCGCAAATTACGGTACAAGAGTATTTCATTACTAGAGGGCATCCATGTCTTTGCACAAACTGTATAATACTTCTGTATGGCTATTTGCATTTGTATTTGAAGTAGTGCTGCAAGAGTCAACTCTTAAATCCAGTCTTATAATTTTCAGTAGAACAAATGTTCTGCCTTAGTAATTGATATGAATAGTGCCTGGTTCCTACAACTCCTTTCTTGTGGTCCATTTACTTTCTGAATTCAGTGCTTTAGCCCCTAATTGCCCTGAATCCTCCAAAATCCTTTTTGCAAATTGGAGGAATTTGCAGGATTGAGGTTACATGGCAAAAGTGCGTTGCTGATTTTGGAGTACGCACTGTGTCAAGGTCTTTGGCCGGACCTTGTGTTGTTTATGCTCAGCCGTGCATAAATTTAGTCCTTGATTATACTTGACATCCTCCGCACTGCTCCAGGATGTCACTGCCTCTGCCTCTGCCTCAGCCTATTGACAGTCATACCCGGAGGATTTTGCAAGATTCAGGCAGTGGTCACCCCTCCATGGACCATATTCAAGAAATAACGGAAGAATTTGCAGGATTGAGGCTATATGCTATTTTTCCATGAGGCCAATTGGAGGATTTTGCAGGATTGAGGCTACATCCTAGCAAAAAGGCCTAGGGAGTTAGGGTTAGCGTTTAGTAATTTAGCTCCAGTTCTAGTGATTTAGCACTTTAGTCCCATGTCACAGGCTGGGCGTTAGCTCCAAAAGTTCCTGATGGATTTTGAAGGATGTGGGAGGGGAGGTTAAACGTTAATGGTTAAAACTTTCTTCCTTTTCCGTTGGTAATTTGTCTGCTCATTATTTGGCAGTTTGGTATGAAGAGCACTGATACAAATGTTGTTGTCTTGCTTTTTTGGAATTGTTTGTAAACAAGTTAATACAAAAATTAAGGCCAGCTATTGTTTGGTTTGAAACACTGTGATTTTGCATAGCTCTATGCATTGCTCACTTTCAGTTTAAACAAAAATCAATCAGAAAATGTTGTCTCATCAAAAGTTAACAAGTTTGTATTGCTAGAGGAATAGCAAATTGAAACAAAAATCTATTTTTAGGGGTTGGAAATGGAAAATAACATTTCACGGTCATCTTTAAAATCACCTCATGAATGTATGTAAAGATGATCTGGATTTGTTCTTTCTCCATAGACTCAGTACAGCGGAGTTGATGCATCGCGTCGGTACCCTCTTCACCGGTCACACGCGGCTCATATGCAGCTTCACAGCATTGCTCCCGACCGGCCACAGCATGTCCATCATGAATAACGACCCCAGTCAGGTCAGAGTTCACATACCGGGTCAGAGGAACATGTCACTGGAGGAGGTCAAGCAACACATAGAGCAAACCCAGGTGAGGTTTTTCGTCACTCTAAAAAAAAAATTGAATTTCAGTGTAAAATAAGAGTCTTCTTGGCAGAGCGTGAAATAGAGATAAACCAATAAACAATTTAGAGAAAATTTTTGGTTGCAAAATTAATCCTAATCTGGCTAGGAAGCATCCTCAATCCTTCAAAATCGTCCAACTGCCTGCATGTAAAAATAAGGATACAGCCTCAATCCTCCAAAATCATCCTTTATCACTTAAATTTGTTTAGTGGAGGGGTGACCACTGCCTCAATACTTCATAGTCCAGTATAATATAGGACTCAATTGGACATTGCTGAATATAAAGAATGCAAGGTCTAGCACAAGACTCAATTAGACATTGCTGAATATAAACAATGCCAGGTCCAGCACAAGACCGTGGCACAGTGCATCCTCCAAAATCAACCGACACGTTTTTTTTGCATACAACCTCAATCCTCCAAAATCCACCAAAAACAGCCTGGTTGATTTTGGAGGATTGAGGAGGGTTAGGCTTAACATGTCTTCAATAAACACTAAAATGTTCATAATTTTGCCTCTAAAGGTGCTTTTAGGTTGATTTGTAGAAGTACATCCGTTCAGGAAACCCGTAACAGCCAATATCTCCATTTTAACCTTTCTGATGTCAGAACCTTCAATTTAGAAAAGTTCGTTCTCAAAGATCATCATGGATTTTTTAGCAACGTATTAGAAAAATCGTATTTTTACCATCTGCCCAGACGAGACTGTGCTTGACACTTGACAGAACACATCAGTACTGTGGCCTGTTATGATGTGGAACATGGCATTTTTGACACCTTGAAGACGTTCATCAGTGAGGTGAAGCCAAGGGTGTCTTGCATCCTTGAGGGTGTCAACAACACATGTCCCACATCACCTGTTTTGTGGTAGGGAAGATTCGTTGTGACTTCGTGAAAAAAATGGTGTGCTTACAGTTACTGGACCTACCTGGATTTTTTGCAGCCTTGAATTTCCGATCTCAAACTCTTCATTGCCACAGTTGTCAAAACAAATTTAATAAAAAAAAAATTTGAAAATAGAAAGTCTTCCCCGTGCAAGTTTTTTTGGTGTTATTGGTTAATTAAACAATTAAACAGATTATTTAAACAGAATACCATTAAAAGTACCTTGGAGGAAAAGAAGTAAGTGTGACACTCTTGAAATTAGGGATTGAAAGCTCTTGAGTTGTGGTATATGCAGCAGCGAATTTATTCCGTATCTGTATATGTGAAGACAAGATTTACATGAAGTGATGTTACTTCAGGTCTCCGGGAAATAACGAATAATCAAAATATATTTACAAAATGGCTACAATTAATCAGTAAGATTAAAGCAAGATGAATTCGAATTACTTTCAGTTCATGAAATAATAATGATTCATTCAAATGATTAAACAGTAGTTACGTTTTCCCGCCGAAACTTTCGCGGGGTCAGCCATCTTGAATTTCAACGTTTCAAGAATAAAACTTAGTTAAAAATACCATTAAATACAGGAATAAGAAAATACAAACAGAAATGGGTAGTCGAGGGATTGTGATGTCATCTAGGTTATAAATATAAAGATTAAGAACGAAAATAAATAGATAATAATAATTACCTGTATATGTGAAGACAAGATTTACATGAAGTGATGTTACTTCAGGTCTTTGGGAAATAACGAATGAGCTAGCGCCCGATATCAGACATTGGGGGTGCTAGGTTAATTTGAATTTACATGTAAATAAGGTTGAACCAAAAAATAACGGGGGTCCCTTTTTATAACCGTCACATATCAAAGTATTAATGACTGACAGACACATTTTTTTAAAAAGTTACAAAATAAAATTATTTTTTCTACCTACCTACCTGGATAACTATCAACACCATTTTTTTTTCAGCCTAAATAACAATTTGAATCCATAATTTAATTTAATTATTGACGTGTATTGTTTGACAGCTGTGAGTTTCTCTGTTCGGAACTTGAAATGCTCTGTTGAACAACGTACCAAACATATCTGGTGTGCTGTACCACACACTGGGCCCTTCTGACACCAATGATGTGCAAGGCAATATTTTACAAAAATGAGGTTTTTACAAACTTGTCTTGTAACAATCCTAGACCAACGGAAACATTGAATGGAGGTTTGAGTTCAAACATATGTGAGGTGCGCAAAGCCACCTACATTGATATCAGGGTGCCAGTTTTCTGGCTATAGCCAGGATTTCCAGCCTTTTCATGTTTTGGAAAAACAACCTCCGGCATTCGGTCCCTTCACAGGCCAGAAAGATAAATCATCATGTTGCATACACCAAGAAAACAAACAAAAAACAGTTACTTGTCATTGTTCAGCCAATAGGAAAGTCCATTGTTTGATTGTCACTCATGAGCCAATAAGAAAATTGGTACAAGTGCTACACTTGTACCGAGTGCGCTCATTCAAACCTAAATTGTCAGCATAGATATACTGCCTTCACATGTGTACAGCAAATGATAGTTTAATAGACAAGTGTACTTGTGTGCGATTCTAGGATCATTGTATAGGCACTGCTCCACATGTATTATTGTACATTGTTATACCTCTGTCTTGAATACTATATTTTCATTGGCCAAGAACGATCACGTGTTTATAAAAAGTCATGGCACACTCCCTGTGGGATCTCATGTACATGATATCCCACAGGGAGTGTGCTATAACTTTGTACGTATGGTACGTACATTGTACGGTGTGAAACGCTAGTATCGTTGGTACCCACGCTATTTTCACCATGTTTTCACGCATGAGTGGGAGCAGTGAACTAGCAGACGATCAGCTGTTTTCAGCACACGACATTTATGTGAGTTGACGTTCGATTGTCATGATTGTTGTGTTTACTGTTGTTTGTTTTCGTGATTTTTATATCAAAATCTGAAGAATCCAAGACAGAGGTATAACAAAACAATGCGCCCCTCGGGTGTTCAAAACGTCATATCCCACATCACAGCAGCCAACAATTGTTAATTCATTGTCAGCAAACATGTACGCAACTTGTGTTTGATAATTCCTTTGTTGAGTATACATGGTGTGTGACAACCGTGTCAGTTTTTCCCGCCTTGGAGCGAAAACCAACTAGCATACCTGTTGATATGAATCTTTGTAATATCTCTCCACATCCTTTTGCATTTCTTTGATCACATTCGATCCTCTTTAAAGATTCCCCCTCTAGACTTAAGGCATTCTCCTGAAGACAGTCAGAGCAAACTGAGACCAAACATCAAGTTTACACCTCTTAAACTTCTTCTTATGGCTGTACTCTTCACCATGCAAACCCTACATCTCATCAATCTTAAATTAGAACGGGTGCTGCAATCCAGCAGATTCATTCCCAGGTCTCTGTTAAAACATAGTCCCAAGAAAAAAAGTCCATCTGTAATCGGCAAAGCAAATATTGATCCACAGGACAGCGACTCCCGTATGTTCTTAGAAATGACAGTTAGGGGAAGGTGATTGATCGCAGGGGAGGAAAAAAAAGTGAGAAGACATCGCCATGGTAATGAGATTGCCACTTCAAGGTCGCAGGGAGGGTATTTGATTTCGGAACAGGCGTCAAATTTGACACCATCTGGTTGAAACTTGAGTCAAGCCACGAGAGGAGGATTGTTTTTCTTAGAAGGTGTGGATGAGTCTTCCAATCAAAGTTGTAGTGTGGTTACCATGGAAAGGCATCATCAATTATAGTTTCTTGTGATAGCCATCATAGTAACGTTGGTCATTTTTAACACTAATTGTCGAAAACAAACGTTGAAAGTTAGCAATTCTGAGGAAAAACGTGATAAGAAAGCTCAAAATTGCTTGTGTGGTTTCGCTGATATTTTGCGTACCCATAAATAGTTTCTGTTTGAGTTTGCAGGAGGTATGACATTAAATGACATTTGGAAACTGTTTTGCAGCAAAATTTTGTGAGGGATGGTTCCTGTGTTTCTAACCTTTCCTAAATATCCAAGTTTTTGTGTTTGCTGCCCTCTGTTGTCCATTAGTTGAAATCCGTCCCTCAGAAGAGTTTGTAGCCTTGTATTTGTTGAGCAGGTGTAGGAACAGGAAATGGGCAGAGTGCAGCCTTGAGCACAGGTGTAAACTAGAAATCAATTGGCCATTGATCTATGATAAATGCACACAAAATGATACTTTTTTGTGCGACCAAATATAGAAATTGTCATTGACAACAAATTGACTGATGAAAGCTATTTTGAAAGGAACTTTCTGGAATCATCTAAAATTCATCACACTGCAATAACGTCATGTATAGTGTCCGAAATCTTGACTTCATTCTGGCTTCAGCTGCATTTTTGACTTCAAAATAATTTTATAGAAGCAGATGACAATGAGTTTTCTACTGTTATGCCTGCATATTATTGGATTAGAATCTCAATCTCCCAAAGCCAAAAATTAAGATGACACCTAGTTTAAAAACCCCATCCAAATCCTCATCACAACATTGTTAACCTTCTTGCTATCTGATATGTCGCAGACAGTCAAAAAATCAAACCTCTTCCCCTGATATGCCTTTTACATAGGCTAGTCACCACCAGTCATGGATCAAGCAAGCACTCTGACTAGTCAAATTCAGGCATTAGACAAAAACAGGCAAGTGGTAGACACAGCTTGCTTATCAATCACCTACAGTCACAGAACAGCTGTATCAAGTTACATAAACAGTCACAGCCAGTCAATCCTGCTTTATGTAGTCACTTGATTGATTTGGACTGAAAGGACAACTTGGCACTTAATGTATGTTTGCATTGGAGGGTTTATTGGAGGTTGTTGATGGTAGAAGTTCACCATGTGTTTCACAAAAGATTGTTAGGTATTGCGGATATTAGGTTAGGTATTGCAATTTTGGCCTGCAAAGCTTGGTAGAAATTAAATTTTGGGAGTCTACTTCAAATTACTTTGATTGATTCGTTACTAGCTCTGTAGACTAAAAAAGTATTTTTACATCCTATGAAAAAAAAAGCATGAATGATATAGG